GGCCTGGCCAACCCGCATTCGGAAATTCGGGGGTATCACACAAAATCTGTAAAACAATACTCAAATGGACCTCATGCTCCTCCTAATATCGTGAATACATGAGAATGTCATCCACGAAAACTACCACAAACTGGTCCAAGTAATCGTAAAAGACGCGGTTCATCAAGTCCATGAATGCCGTTGGAGCATTAGTCAAGCCAAATGGCATAATAAGGAACTCATAATGTCCATACCGAGTGCGAAACGCCGTCTTTAAGATATCCTCATCCCTGACCCACAGCTGATAATAGCCTGACCTCAAGTCAATCTTTGAAAAACAACTGGCTCTTCTCAACTGATCAAACAAATCATCTATTATTGGCAAATGGTACTTATTCTTGATGGTGGCATGATTCAACTTCCGGTAATCAATGCACAACCTCAAAGAACCATCTTTCTTCTTAGCAAACAAGACCGGTGCGCCCCATGGTGACACACTCGGTCGGATGAAACCTTTCATCCTCAAATCATCAAGCTGCCTTTTTAATTCTTCCAATTCAACTGGTGTCATACGATACGGTGCCATAGAAATCGGCGCGGTACCTGGCATTAACTCAATAGAGAACTCCACTTCTCGGTGTGGAGGCAACTCTGTTAAATCCTCCAAAAACACATCCAGAAAATCACGAACAACTATAGGGTAACCCTCTTTCACAACATCATCTTCTTCGGTTAGAAGACTAGCCAAGAAATAATCACCACAACTCCGTCCACGAACTCCATAAAAATGTGGGAATCACTCCGATTTTCCACGAAAAAGAAACAGTATCCCTCAAAAGTGCAAACTGTGACTCTCCCTCTAAAACAGTCGATCGTGGCATGAAAGGAAGCTAACCAATCCATCCCGAGAATGAAATCAAAGCTAGTCATCTCCAGGAGGATAAGGTCAAACACAAAAGTCCGTCTAGCTATCACAATGGAACAATCCCTCACAACTCGGCTCAAAGACACTGAAACCCCAACTGGCGTATCAACATACAATGCCCGATCCATGAAACTGACCTCTAACCCCGATGCAAGTGCAAATGATGATGATATAAAGGAATGAGATGCACCAGAGTTAAACAAAATATGGGCCCAATAACCAAACACTGGAAATATACCTCGAAGAACTGAAGATCCAGGAGATGCATCAGTCGGTGCAAGTGCAAAGACACGTCCCTGCGGCGCCTATGCCTGTGAACTACTAATCTGAACACCAGACTGTTGTGCCGACACAGTAGGAGTATCCCTCCTTGCTGGTCGTGAACCCTGAGAAGACACGGTAGGCTGTAGTGGTGGCGGTGGTCTGAAACCTGACTGAATTGTAGCCGATTGTGACGGCCTCTGCTATGACCCTCTGCCACTACCGGTGCCTGCTCCTCGAGTAGGACAATCCCGGATCAGATGGCCCTATTGGCCATACCCATAACAAGCTCTCGATGACGCATAAACTGTGGTCGAGTTCATAGGACATTTGGACTTGTAATGTCCAGGCTGCTGGCACTGAAAACAAACGACTCCACTCCTATCAGACCCAGCTGGCAAAGGAGTGGTAGGAGCGGATTGTGCAGACTGCTGCCCCTGAAACTGAGATGGACCGCCCCTATTCTTTTTCCAAGAAGATCCTTCTGAAGATGGCCCTGCACCCCTCTTTTGCTTCCACTGCTCTCTTCTCGCATCCTTATCTTTAATGTCAAGCTCCAGCATTAAAGCCCTTTCCATTGCTTCAGAATAAACTTTAATGAACTATGCTGTGATCAACGGTCTCATTCGATCATTAAGACTGAAAACAAACTTTCGAGTCATATTCCGCCACCGACATATTGCCCTGGATAAGATTATGAAACTGGTCCTTTAGCTCCCATCTTTTAGAAATCGACAAATACTTTCATAAAACAATTTCTTGAACTTATCCCAACTCATCTCCTCCACCTTGTACCGGCTCGTAACCGACTTCCACCATAGTTTGGCATCCTTAGCAAACTTATAAGTAGCGAGGATGATCTTCAAATGATCCTCCGTCACATCCATTGAAATTAGTTGAGTCTCAACTTGATCCAGGTAGTCATTTGCTGCCATTGGATCCGCACCGCCTTCAAACATAACCGGCATCAGCTGAAAAAACCCCTTAATGATCTTGAGACGCTTCTGAGCTGGCGTCTCCTCAACTTGAACTGTAGGTTGTGGTGCCGACTGCGACTGAGCAGCAATCGTTGCCCTCACGGCATTTTGCAACAAACGATTCAACTCCAGTGCCACAGAACCTTCACCTACTTCTACGGGTGCTTCAACATTATCCCTCTTTGTGGGGACAACTCTCGGGGGAATCAAGTCCTTAAGAAGTGTGTCCTCATCATATAGCTCCTCCGAATTGGAGCTGGAGCTCTCGCCAATATCACCCCTAGTCGGTTTAGGGCCAACTTCCCTGATTTCCTCACGCCGTGACATCGTTCTATAAAACAAAGGAAACAATTCAATAATGATAACACTAAGGTTCAACCGTGAACAACCCAATGCAAAAAGATACTGTACAAACATTTAGCATGTAATACTATGCAATGAACACATTAATATAAGCACATAAGCACGTAAGCAAGTAAGCAGTTAAGCATGTTTTTTCACATAGCAAAACACTTTTGCAAATAAGGAAATAACAATGCAAATGACTTCCCAGACAACCCTAGGTAAGCCTCTACCCGTCGTCCTAATGGTATTCGAACCATCACTCTGATACCAAATTTGTAACGACCCTAAACTGTTACCATTTAAAAAAAATATATTCGGCATGACCTCCCCTAAAAAATGGGCCTACCACAACCTGTTTAAAAGAATTTTAAACCTGTCCCAACACAAATATCATATAATACACTCTATGGTGGTACAACCACATACTATATCATCCAAATATCATATTTACAGTCCCAAAATATAGTTACAATAACAAGAGTTCACAAATCTCTATACCAAATATAACAAACTAAGCTTTTACCAAAAAAATATGGGACGTAATACAAAAATAGCAAAAAGAAGTCTTCTAAACTAAATTAGGCCTGTAGTGGAAAGTCATCCGCCACTTCTTTCCCATTTCCTGAAAAAAATTTAGAATATGATGGGGTGAGCTATACACTCAGTAGGTGACACTTAAGACACTTTTCTTGTGTCCTTGTGAATCCATATAAAGAATAGGCCAATAGGAAATGGGGATCATACAATGTCGGGAAATAATACACCATTCCAACAACCCACACGATGCCATGAAATGCAAATGTATGCCAATGTCACTCCCCATTTTCTGTTCTCAAACATCACTTTCAAACTGTTAATATAACCCGCCCTTTGGTGACCCCGCAGCGACACGAGATGATGATTGGCTAGTGTCCCTGACCCTTGGTACCCCTGCGGTGTCATTATGGGGTCCAGCTAGCTCAACTACGCTAGGGCGACTCCCTAGTCCCCTCTAAGGTATATTAACACTCCGACCCTTTGGTATCCCCGCGGCGACCGGGTTTTTCAAAACTGTTTCATCAAATCATTTTTCCCAAAATTCCATTTTTCATTTCAAACTCCTTATTCCCGTTTCATGCCCAATGTAAGTGCATGAGTGCATCAATACCATGAATTTAATCATCATTTCACATTCAACTCTATTTAAGTAAGCAAGACATAATTTTGCAATAATTTTTCAAGGGATTTTAACATGCTCTTGTACAACAATGCATCTAGCACAACGAACATATATAAATTATCACATAAGCAAGAATTTCCACATAAAACATTTAAAACAAGTTCTCACATAACCATATACACATGCTATAATTTCTTTAAACTACAACTAGCATAAGTAAACATGTCTAGCATCAAATTAGAAGATGTAATTCACATAGGAGTAAGAAACTTGTGGATTAAGAGCCCCTACCTCAAATTTGTACCAAAGTTTTGCCTCAAACGACACCTTTATCCGCCAAGAATTGAGAAAGTTACCAAGCTCTAAAGATTGGTTTACAAGAAGAAAAGAAAAATAAGAAAACTAGAGAGAGAGAGAGGCTACAGGAGAGAGGAAGAAAAAAAATGAGAAAGCAAAATGGTCTCTAGACCATTAAAGGTGAGTGGGTGGTCGGTCCCACCACCACCCTTGGACTTTTCTTTTTGATTTAAATTATACCACACACACACAAATATATACACCTATGCACACAATATATATAGACACAGACATTACAATCACATTTTAATAAGGCAAAAATCTTTAGCATGCACAAAAAAAATATTTCACATTTCATTTTTCAACTTCTTTATTAGACGTGGTAAAGGTCTGTCACTTTCTCTCTCTTCTGAATATATTTAGTGCTGCCATTGACAAAAACTTGCAGGATCTTCAACCAAATTGCAGGTGTTAATCTCTTTATCTTCTTAGTATATTACTTTTTTTTTTTTTTTTTTTTTTTTTTTTTTTTTTTTTTTTTGTATCTTCGTGCCGAAATTTGTTTGATTTCTCCATCTTTCTCTTTTCGAACATTTATATATGGAGTAATGATGATATAAAATAAAAATTAACAATTCTGGAGTCAAAAATAATATTTTATTTTATTTTAAGTTTTTTTTTGTTTTTTTTTTCAATAGTTATAACATTCCATAATTCATTGTGAGAATATTATTTAGATTGATTTTATTAAAAAGTAATGTTAACCAAACAATAGAATGATAATCATTCCATTCCATAACGATTCACTTTATCATGCCAAACAATAGAATGCGAATTTCATTCCATTCTATTCTCGTTCTCATTCTATTTTCATTCTTATTCTATTCCAAGCTACATTCTATTATATTCTTATCCACCAAACATAGCCTAAGTTATAAGCAAAAAAATTTTAAACGGAAACACGAAATATAAAAGCGACACGACACGACACACAATACTTCAACAAGTATTGCGTGACTTATGTTTTATAGTAAAAAAACAAAAAAAAGTGAAAAATAAATAAATCAATTCGGGTGGGTACATTTAATTGTTATAAATTGTTATAAATTGGTAAATGGAAAACAAAGCCGCAAACTGTGGGAACAAAACAACATTTCACATCTGGAGCCGTAAACAAAAAGTGATGAACGAACTAGAAACGAAGATAGATAAAATAGAGGGAGAAGAGTCAGTAGAGCAGTCTACGATGGCCGCCTCCGCCATTGACGGCGTCGCCGCGACGGCGCTCCGCTCGGTCTTCCAACGAGTCCAACAAGCCGCCCAGAGGTCCGGCCGTCCCTCCGACCAGATTAGAGTCGTCGCTGTTAGCAAAACCAAACCGGTCTCTCTCATCCGCCAAGTCTACGACGTTGGGCACCGCTATTTCGGAGAGAATTACGTTCAAGAGATCATCGAGAAAGCCCCTCAGGTCTTTTTTTTTTTTTTCTCTGTGATTAGTTCACTTACCCTCTGTTTGGTTGCCGAGAAAAATTAATTCTTTATGCTATTTGGTTCTTATCTAAATTTAAGTAAGAAAAAATTGATCTCAATCAAATTAAGTTGAATGCTTATCGTAAGGTCAGAAAATTTTATTGTCAAATGGGTTGATTTCTTTCCTGTTGTAATTTCTCAGCAGCCAATTCCGCTGTTAACTTTTCTTGTTTGTGAAAAATGATTAGTTTGTATTTGAGGTAATGTCTTTAACTTTGGTAATTGTTCAAAAATTTGCAGCTTCCGGACGATATCGAATGGCATTTTATTGGGAATTTGCAGAGCAATAAAGTAAAGCCTCTTCTGAGTATGTAGAACATCTCTCTCATTCTCATTGTGTATATTCTCATTGTATATGTGCTGTGGGCAAAGTAGGAATCTTCTGAGTGTTGATGTAAGATATTGAATGGCATTTTATTGGGAATTTGCAGAGCAATAAAGTAAAGCCTCTTCTGAGTATGTAGAACATCTCTTTCATTCTCACTGTGTATGTTCTCATTGTATATGTGCTGTGGGCAAAGTAGGAATCTTCTGAGTGTTGATGTAAGATAACAAGGAAATTGAAATTATAATGCAAGTAGCAGTTCATTTTATGTAGTTTCTGGATTTGTAGATTTGCATTCACTTATTTGGAACTATACTACTGATTTAGCTTAAGAAAATGTTAGTACCTTCTAAGTGAGTGAAAGGCAGTATTAATGGCCTAGGCCGACCATTGACCTCAATATCTGAGCCCACATGCTTTGATATTTGGATTATACTTGGAGGAGTTATATAAGGTGTGGGTCTGATATAAATCCAAGAAAGTTAGGCTGGGGAAGGAATGAATCCTTCTGTTTTCAGCAATTGAAATGATAATGATATTCAGTTCTTTATGTATGTGTTGAGCACAAATTGGATCTCATGCTTTGTATGACTGATTGGATTTGGAAATCATTCTCTGTCCAGAAGTGAAAAGATATCATCGACCATCTTAAGGAGTAGGTCCTTTCTGTACATTGAGGCCATTGTAAGGGGGGAAAAAAAAAAATTCTTTACTTGGATATGTTCTGTGTGTGTTTCTTTTCTAATTTTTCAAAATATCATATCTCTTTATTTTTTTTATTTTATTTTTTTTTTTTCTCATTGTTTAAATTTCTTCTATACTCTACACTCTATAAGATCATTTGCACAGTTCTTTTTCCAATTCATTTTTGTGTTTTTAATAGTCATTTTTATTATTGGATAACTCACACATTTGTTCTGTTCTTATTCATGTTTGTACTAACTTAGCTACTCTACTGCTGTTCTCTTCATTCCAATGTAACCTTTTTTTTTTTTTCTCTATTGACCAACTTTTTCTAACTTCTACTTTTACATAGTTTTTTATTTTTTATTTTTACTTGAAAGGGGGTTGATATATATATTTTTTATTGTACAGCTGGTGTGCCGAACCTAGCCATGGTGGAGACTGTAGATGATGAGAAGGTAAAAAGCAACTAGAATATCAGTTATCCTTGGTCGAAAATTCCAAATTTTGTATTTCTCAAGTGAGGTCAATTTTTTGCAGTATGCACTTAATGTTTTTTTTTATATCAGGAAGAATTTTTGTTGCTTTAAGAATTTGTGAAGTACTTACTTTTTGGCACGTAGTTTCTTCTTTGTAAAATCATCTTACTTACCAGGGGAAAAAAACTTCTGGAAAATTGTGGCAGTGTATTTGGCTGTCATAATCTTTGGTGCTGCCCTAGATGACCCCTTTGTTTAAAATAAAAAAGTTGTTGTCTATGAGATTTGCATGTGAGCAAACCTCTTTAATGGCAGCTGGCCAGCTGCCGTCTACTCACTTAGCCCACAAGATATGGCAGGGAAAGTAAGAAGAGTAAGGTAAAAACAGTGGGTAAACTTACAATAAAATGGCTTTTTACCTTTGTCCATATTCAAGGCATCTTGGGAGAGCCTAGGTGAGGCACGGCCAAAGTGAGACATGGCCTAGGCAGTACACCCTTATATTCACTACTCCGCACAAATTATTGATGCATGTAAAAAATGCAAAAGTTAGAAAATTGCATGTTTTAATCTTAAATTTTGAATTTATCCACTCTCACTATAAAGAAAATATCATATAATAACTTATCCAAAAATAAAAATAAAAATAAAAATAACAGAAAAATAACATGTAATACAAAGCAGAGAAATTACAATGTCTCATTTTCCTTAGAAAATGCAAAATGTAGCGTAAGGTCATGTGTCAGGTTTTTTTTTTTTTTTTCCCAAATGCTAGGTGCTGAAATAATGTCCCATATTGTCAGCAAATTTTTTATTCATATTAAATTATCATTTTGCCTAGTTATATCATTTATGCAACAATTGATGTAACCAATGGGACAGAAACCAACAGTTACTGACTTTCACTCTATAAATCAGTATGGTTAAAAGTACGATAACCAAAGGATTCTGAATCATATAAAATTTCTTATATATTATGGATCAAATAGTTTATCAAAAAAACAAAATTGAGCAGATCAAATTCTGTTTTAGGTTATTATGCCAACTGATACAAGTATTCCAGTCCAGAACCTCATGTGCTGAACTTTGAACCGCCAATCTCTCTCATCTATGGCCTCTCACTGCTTCTCTCATACTATTAGACGAACATGAGTTTAGTGAATGATTGTTTGTTGTGTTTCGTGGAATGATTTGAATTGTGTTGTGGTGGTTGGAATGATTCAAATTGTTTGCTGAGGTGGTTGACCGAAAACTGTGTGGAGTCCGCCATGTATGTTTTTCTTGGTAAAAACATCTAGTTGTGAGTTCTCCCCACTTCCAAGTGCTTTGCACTTACAAATAAAGTGCTCAAGGATCCATAGAGCCAGACAACTTATATCTGTCACCATTTGAGTGAATAACTTTGCATCTAATACATCCTTGAGGCTGCAAGTCAGTGCCATCTACAACTTCACATATGGAGCCTAAAACATTTGTTAGGTAATTTGGTACTGATGCAATTGGCATGATGCCTCGGCAATGCTTGTGATGCATTGACTATTCCATTTCTGAAAGTTCTTTCACTGTTATCTGCTGGCAATGTGGTATTAGTGAAAAAGGTGCTTGAATGGGTTAAGAGTACTTTATCAAAATTCACTCATTTCTCAATCCTTTGCATTGTTTTCTGTAGATCGCAAATCATCTTGAGCGTGCAGTCGCAAACATTGGAAGAAAACCTTTAAAGGTTTTGGTCCAAGTAAATACCAGTGGAGAAGAATGTGAGTAACTGGAGCATGTGGCCTATGTATTAGGACCTTTGATCTCTTTTGAAAAAATTCCCTCAATAATTTAACTTGTTAACAACTAAACACTAAGAATATGTTAAGAAGGAATAATATTCGTCTTTGTACTTGTTTCAGCAAAATCTGGAGTTGATCCGTCTGGGTGTGTGGAACTTGTGAAGCATGTTAGTTTAGGCTGCCCAAACCTTCAGTTTTGTGGCCTAATGACAATAGGGATGCTGGATTATACTTCAACTCCAGAAAACTTCAAGGTCATGTATTCTCATTTCTGTTTATTATTTTCATTCAACTTTTGGTGCTCCTAAAATATCCTGATGCCTGTAGTTTGTTGGTGTCAGACATTAGCAAACTGTAGAAGCGAGGTTTGCAAGGCACTTGGAATAGCAGAAGAGCAATGCGAGCTATCAATGGGTATGTCTGGTGACTTCGAGTTAGCTGTAAGTAAATTCCTACTACTTATGTTGCAGTTATTTTATTTAAGAATAAATAACCACATTTTTCCAGTAAAGTCCCATTGCTTGTGTTGCAGTGGTTTTATTTAAGAAAAAATAACCACAAATTTCCATTATAATGATGAATCTGTAGGCCAAAGTTTCACAATACCGACTCTTAAAATGGAACAGAAATTTCTTGGCAACCCCAATATTTTATGTGGACTAGTTATTTTTTTCTTTCCACTTGCTACCAGTCTTGAAACCTTGACGGTGGAAAACAAAGGTAGATCGGTATATGTGGCTAGTTATGCTTACATATACTTTGAATTTCTCATACTAAAAGAAGGCCATTTTAGCTGGCGTACTGTTTTATTGCGGAAGCCAACCTATATAAAAGAACTAGCATTCCGCTGTTATAAACTATCAGATTGACTGGATGCAAGAGATACAGTACACAAAAGTTGCATCCTGTGCAAAATATTTGCAAAGCCTTCAATTTTCATTTTCGTGTTAAATATATATACATGTTGCGATATTATCCAGTGTGGAGCTTTAACGAAAAGATTATAAACCTAATAAAATGAGATTGCTGGTTGCTGCAGATTGAAATGGGCAGTACTAATGTAAGAATTGGATCTACTATTTTTGGAGCGAGGGAGTATCCGAAGAAGCAATCCAACTAGCAGACTCAAATGTCGGCTGAAGAATCAACACAGTGATCCTTCAAATTTCTTCACCGAGTTTATTGTAGGAAGGCCCACTCAGATTTTATGCCGTTTGATAGTTGGATCTCAGTCAATCTGTTTACATAGCTTATCAGCATGATTAATCCCTATTCGACATTGTTCAATAGATCTCTATGGATCTACACATTTCATCTGAGTCGTTTCATTAAGGCGATTTTGTAAACTACAGATATTTATATTGAGATATGTGAGCAGATGTGTTTGCGAATGTCATATTTACACATTGTTAATTCAGTTCATATAAATCAGTGGAAAGGATAAGTCGATACAGAATTATTGATGAACATGACCAATTGATTTGAGCATTTTAATTACTACAAATTCTAAGCTCATATTCAACGGAATAAATTCAAGTCCAGGAAGGGTTTGTTTGTAGTAATCAGATGCCTGACTTTTTCATTGTATTGATAAGTTCAGTTATTTAATTTGTAACAATGTTAGATCAAGTGATATTTTCTCCTTTTCAAATGACAGGTTATTCGAGTCCCAGACAAACAACCTAGCAATATATTTATATGTACAAGATACAGCATATGACATTTATAAAATATATTTACGTTTACATCGAAGACCAAAATATGACACTTAAAAAACATACATGCTTCATATTTGCTTCGAAGACGCCTTTTTTTTATATATAAACACAAGTCCATTGAGCAACAATTTTAGTTGTGGTCGGTAAATTTCCATTACTATCTGAAATTTGCAAGTTTCGTCATCTGCAAAACTTCCCAACTCAATTATCTGAAAAATGAGCGACTGAGCTATGAACAAGCTCAAACCTCACTTCTTCACCACTCCAAAACCACGAGTACCACCACCTGAGCCTATAATCACCACCACAACAAAGTCATTCAATGCTATAATCAACCGCCTATCGTCGGAAGGCGCACACTCCGACGTCCTCCAATCCTACTCCTCCATGTTCAAACACAATACCCCTCCGGACGCCTACACATTCCCTAGTGTCCTCAAAGCTTGTACTTCCTTAAACCTGCACTCTCACGGCCTTTGTTTTCATCAACACATCATCGTTTATGGGTACTCTTCCGATGCATATATAGCTTCTTCTCTAATCGACTTCTATGCCAAATTCGGGCACACCCATCATGCTCGTCAGGTGTTTGAGATGATGTCTGAAAGAAATATTGTTCCGTGGACTGCTGTGATCGGCTGTTATTCAAGAGTAGGTGACATCAATACAGCCTTTTGGATGGTTAATCGGATGCGACATGAAGGAACTCAACCTAGTTCAGTTACCATGTTAAGCTTGCTCTATGGAGTTTCGGAGGATACCCAAGTGCAATGTTTGCATGCTTTAACAATACAGTATGGTTTCGGGTTTAACACCGCTTTGGTGAATTCTGTGTTGAATGTGTACTGTAAATGCGGAAGGATTGAGGATGCAAGGGACTTATTTGAATTGATGGATACAAGAGATATTGTTTCATGGAATTCTTTGATTTCAGGTTACGCACAGGTTGGGGATGGTAGAGAAATATTGCAGCTTTTACATAGAATGAGAGTTGAAAGAATGGAGCCTGATCAGCAAACATTTGGGTCATTGGTGTCTGCAAGTGCAAGAGAGAGTAATCTTGAAATGGGAAAGTTGGTGCATGGGCAGATATTAACTTCTGGATTTGATTTGGATTCACATGTTGAAACTTCTCTTATAGTAATGTATTTAAAATGTGGAAACTTAGATGATGCATACCGGATATTTGAACGCACTCTAGTTAAAGATGTGATCTTATGGACGGCAATGATCTCAGGTCTTGCGCAGAATGAATGTGCAGACAAGGCATTGACAGTGTTTCGATGGATGTTAATTTCAAGAGTGATGCCATCTACCGCCACCATAGCTAGCGTGCTTTCAGCTTGTGCTCAATTGGGCTCTTTCTTTCTGGGATCGTCAATTCATGGCTACATCTTACGACAGCGAATGGCTGTGGACATTCCTACCCAAAACGCTCTTGTCACCATGTATGCAAAGTGTGGTCACTTGGATCAAAGTTGTGCTGCTTTTGATATGATGGAAGAAAGAGACGTAGTTTCATGGAATGCAGTTGTTTCTGGGTATGCACAGAATGGCCATTTATTTAAGGCCTTTTATTTATTTAATAAAATGATGACAAGCCTTCAAAAACCAGATTCAATTACTGTTGTCTCGCTTCTTCAAGCTTGTGCCTCCATAGGGGCACTCCAGCAGGGGAAGTGGATTCACAATTTTGTCACTAGGAGCTGCCTTAGACCATGCATCTTGATTGACACAGCTTTGGTTGATATGTACTCTAAATGTGGAGACTTGGACACTGCTAGAAAGTGTTTTGACAGGATGTCACAGTATGATCTGATCTCATGGAGCACAATAATTGCTGGATATGGTAGTCATGGCAAAGGGCAGATTGCTTTGGAAATGTACTTTGAATTTTTGCACACCGGGCTTGAACCAAACCACGTCATTTTACTATCTGTTCTCTCTGCCTGTAGCCATAACGGGTTGGTCAACCAGGGTTTGAGTTTGTTCCATTCTATGACCAAGGATTTTGGCATTGAACCAAAACTTGAGCACCGTGCTTGTATTGTTGACCTTTTCAGTCGAGCAGGTAGGGTAGAAGATGCATATGACTTCTACAAGAGGATGTTCCCAGAACCGGCAGTGGATGTTTTGGGCATACTCCTTGATGCTTGTCGGGCCAGTGGTAACGTGAAACTTGGGGACATTATTGCCAGAGATATTTGCATGTTGAAGCCTGTGGATGCAGGAAACTACTTGCAACTGGCACACAGCTACGCTTCAATGGCCAGATGGGATAGTGTGGGTGAGGCATGGATCCAGATGAGGTCTCTTGGACTGAAAAAGCTCCCTGGTTGGAGTTTTATTGAACTACATGGGACAATTACAACATTTTTCATGGATCAGAGTTCACATCCTCAATATGACGACATATTGTTTGTGTTGAAATTGTTGAGCAAAGAAACAAAGAATTTTGGTATAAACTCCATAATCAGCCAATTTCACATTATATAATGCTGAAAAGAAGAGCTGATTCTCACAAAAAAAGAATCCATATGCTCAGGTTAAATGGATTAAAAAGAAATCTCTACTGCTTTGGAGGAGACTACTGATGAAAGAGGCATATTGTTCCTGAGGTGAATGTTCCTGGAATCTATACAGTCAGTGTGTCTGGGATACTTCTCGCTACCTGTGAAGCTTGCTAGTCTGGAAACCTCGTGCAGAAGTTTTGCACATCATGCGGCAATCTTCCACATGCTGAGGTTAAAACATGGCTGAAGAAAATTTCCTGGTCAGATTTTTTATTGAACTATGTAGTGGATGGAGCCAATTACAGCAATCTTTGGAGTTACCGTATTGCTTCATGAATGCAAAAAAAATTGTTAAAGTCGTGAAATTTATGGAGTCTTAACCCCAAACCCTGCAAGCAAGCTACAGTTGCAAGGATAAACTTCAGATAGAGGATTTGAAAAAAAGCCACTAGCTCTGATAAAATGCTGTTGGTAAAGGAAACCTTTTGGCTTATTCATAAGGATATTCCCAAACTCATAGGCAATGTTATTGGAATACTCAAAAAGGGATCTCATCTCCAGATTGGGAGACTGAAAATTCTAAGCAAGTGGAACATAAGTTCCCTGTTTTGTTATGTCAGAAGTGTATGAAAACTTAATTTGGGAGCAATTAGGGAATGGTAACTCTGGTAATGATGCTATTTAGCTTCTTGAGAAGTATAAATCTTAACATGTGCACTCAATTTCTTTGATTGTGGCATTCATTTTGTTCCTGTTCTTTTTCTTTTTGTAGGTAATTCCCATCTTAATTTCTTCAGATTGTATGAAGCATGGACAAAGAATTAGAGGAAAGTTCTACAGTTTTGTTAGCTATGGGAATTGAAGTTGCAAAAACTGAAATTCTGGAAAACAAGCAGCGTGCTGACATGGCTTTATCAGAGACCCAAAAGATGGCATTTGCAACTCAGAGATGGGAACCCGTGAAGAGGCAAGGAAAACTGCCAATGCAGCATGAGAACGCGGTAGGAAGGACTGATAGAACGCAGTTCTGCAATTAATGCAATTTGGAAGCTCAGGACTCACCAGAAAGGACTGATAGAAGGTCCGATAATTCTCATTTAAACTTTGCAGGGAGTAGAATCCCAAATTAAAAATATTTACAGTTTTGACACAACATCAGATGGCAACATGTATCCACGTTACACTCGTGGATGGAATTATGCCAATTTTTAATTGCAGTTGCAGGTGGAGGAAACAAAGAATTGGTAAGGACTTGTTTCAGTGAGATTGTATTGCTATTACTTTCTCATCTTCATCTCCCAATAATAGTAGTAATTTTTTATCTGATTAAATTTCTAGGCCACCCAGTTTATTTCTTTGTTGTTCTGATTCTTGTGATCAAGTATGAAAATTGAATCTCCACCAAGTCCTTGGTAGTTTGGCTAGGTTGTCTGAGTAAATTGACAATTCCTTCCGAAACTTCCCAGTCTGCTTCACAACTATAAAATCAAGTACAGAACTCTTGATGTTTCTGAAGTAGAAGTCTTAATTTTGCTGAAGTAGGTTTCATGTATTAATTGTGATCAGCAGTGAATCTCCTTTTGCAAATAAAATGCTAAATTTAATTAGCTCATGGCTCATGCATAGATAATTATAGCACCACCATCTCTGACACCAGTAATGTTTAATCATAGCACACCAACACCTTTAATAAAAACGGCAGTTGCTTCTACACAGTAATGTACTATCAATGTGTTAATACTTAATACTTTGAACTACCACATGTATCCATATGAATATCAATGCACTTTAGAATTGTCACACCACTTGTGCATTACAACGAAAAACCAATTGCCAACAACCAGCTGACCTGTTATCCCTTGTTTTGTTGGGTGGAAGGTGAGTAAGGGCTATGACTTGTATCTCTTGTGATAGTTTCATGAAATATATATAATCATATTTATATATACATATATGTATGTATGTATATATCTGGATTTCACACACACATACACATAATTCTCTAGCAGTTTACAAACAAATAGCCAAATTAGCAGTCAAAATAGGCCAATGTTTAGGGCATGATCTTAACTTGAATTCAGATCAACTATGTGTCATTTGTTTATTTTACTAAATCATAGGCCTCATCCAATATGTATGGATAATATTTCTTTTTTCTTTTTTTTTGCCTTTTTTTGTTTTTTCGGACCAGAGAAGCCGATAAGATTGTACAACTTATAGTTAGGTGTCTCCCAATTCAAATATGTTGACCTGTACTTAAGGCCCACATTCTCAACCATCAAAAGTTCTCAAGCACAATTGCTTGAGAGAGAGAGTTCAGAAACTTGCATATGCCTATCCCTCTTCATCAATTCCTTCCTTTAAGAGGAGGAAAAAGTCGTATCTCAAAAGCCACGTGTCAATATGTTGTAATAAATAAGATTAACTTAGCTACTGATAGATCATGGCCGTGGACCCAATGCAAATAATGCTTAGGCTAGTTCATTTCAACTCAGTTACATTTTAAATATGCTTAAATTCTCATGCAACCAATATATATCCACACTCCACTCTTCTGCTGCACAAAAACATGCACACACAGTGACACACACACACACAGTGATGGAGAATTGTTCTGTGTTATGTCTGTTTGCAGCATTGGTGATGGGTGTCTTCATAGGATTGAATGAAGCTAGACTTTCCTTTCATTACTATGAGACTACATGTCCAGATGTTGAAAACATAGTGAGGCAAGAACTGACAAGTATTTTTATGAATGATGCAACAGCTCCGGCTTCCTTTCTAAGGCTTCTGTTCCATGATTGCCAAGTTCAGGTTTAGTTTTCTTTCCTTTCTTCTTCTACTTTTACATACCCTGCAGACTTCCATTTAATCCTACCTGACAACCCAACAACCAGTTTCTTGGTTCATATATATTACATTTGCTCACCCATTTGCTATTAATGAATCTAGCCAAATACATTGCATGCATTATGAATTTGAGGTAATGCATGTAATTTATTTTCCTCCTGAGCTGTAGGTCACTTTTTAGTACTGGTAGGGTTACGTATGAACTGGTTAGCTTTTCATGAACAATTTAAACTCATCTCGATATAAGTTTGGTTCATTTTTGTCAAAGTAAATTAACCCAACTCGAACAATATTTTTGAGCTCTATAGATAATTAAACGGTCCAACCCCAAAAAACCACTCACCTAAACAAACATGTTCGTTAACAGATATTTGTGAGCAAACTCGTTGTTACTCATGAACGTGAATGATTTGTTTATTAGGATTTGCTTGGATTTATAATAAATGTTTTTTCTTTATTAATCTTGATCGCTAGCTCCAGCTTGAGTTGACCTTGAGCTTGACAAGCAGTGTTGGAACCAAGCTCAAACAATTGAAAGTTGGGCCTGACTCACACTCACGATTGAGCTGAGCCAACTGTTTTGATTATTGCAGCCTCATTTACTGGTCCCTATGCATGCATGTTTACCTGCACATGCTTTAACTTTGTTCCGTAATGGATTTACATTGTTATGATACAGGGATGTGATGCATCAATCCTGCTTGACTTTGATGAAATTGGCAAGACGTCTGAAGCAATTTCTTCCAAAAACTTTGGGATCAATAAGCGAGAAATGATAGACAGAATAAAATCTGTCGTAGAAATGGTGTGTCCGGGACAGGTATCTTGTGCAGATATCATTGCTTTAGCAGCCAAGGAATCTGTATCCTTCTCGGGAGGACCTCGCATTCATATCCCTTTTGGCAGAAAAGACTCCACAACCTGTAGTCACCGACAGGCTGATATTCGTCTTCCTACACCCGGTATAAGCATTGATGATTTTTTCAATATATTCACGACCAAAGGAATGAACCTTGAAGAATCCGTCTCAATGTTAGGTAAAGTTCTTTATTTTGACAGAAAATTGGGTGTTCGGTAGAAGTCACTTAAATGAAAAATGAATGCAATTAGACTCCTTTTTTTTCAGGTAGAAAAATGCAAATAGACTCTTGCCAATGCCAAAGAGCCATTGTCAGTTATTCAAATTATAAATGGGGTAACATGCAGGATGCTTGCCATTTGACCAAAAAACTCCCCTAATCTCTCTCCCCATCCGATGTGAGACAAGACCCATGTGACATTCTCCCTCACCGGAAGGACCCTCCTGTCTACCCGTCCACCCTAACGGGTAGAGGACCCAATAACAACCCTCTTTGAGAGGCCGGAATTCATCACATTTGCCTAAATAATTAACTTCATTTCATGCAAACCTTGCTGAAATCGCAATGACATTTATATGAATATGATATGCCAAATTATTCACTTGTTCCATTCGGAGTAAAAAGTGTAAAATTTTTGGAGCTGTGATGGTTTCCGTAAAATTTGGAACTGTTATGACCCTGTAAAAGCCATTTATGTAGAGAAAAAATGAAAAGCACAAAAGGGAACAAAAACATGCCAGTCTATCCTACCCATGTTCTTCAAAATAGTGGGTTTTTTTTTTTTTTTTCCTGAAAAACAATGATTACAAAGTTAGACAAACTAGAAGTTATTATGGTGACCATAGTTAGGAGCTACTGTCCCTTGAAACTATGTATATCATATGGTGTGTGACAATATTAAATGTGATCTTGCAGGTGCACACACACTTGGTGTTGGACACTGCCTAAACATTGTGGAAAGATTGTATGATCCAAAACCAGATGACTGGATGGACTTCAGGTTTGGAGCTCAATTAAGATTCAACTGCCCCAATCCATTTCCTCTAACAAACCTTGCATTGGTGCCCAATGACATAACCCCATTTACATTTGATAACCAGTACTACACAGATGTTCTGATGGGCAGAGGCTTGTTTGTCATTGATTCCAACATTTCCAGAGACCCTCGCACTGCACCCATTGTCGGAAAATTCGCGGCTGATCAGAATTACTTCTTCCAAGTTTTCTCCTCCGCGTTTATAAAACTCTCTGTCACCAATGTTCTTACTGGAAAGAATGGTGAGGTGAGGAGGCAATGTAACAGAGTAAACTCAGATCTCTGAATATTTATGTCAAACGTTATTACGTGTATGTATATGCATACATACATATAGTTACATGTGCGTGTATGTACCATTATTGTTGTGAGATTTGTTGATTAGTGGGTGAATAAAAGGGTCTGTTTGCAAACAAGACTCCTATTTTTTAGTTATCATTCATGACGGTTGCTTGGTGGTTCTCTACATTAACTATCGTTATCACTGAAGCAATGTCCACATCTAAAATTTAGATGCGGAAAATCTAGATGTGGAAGTTGAAGTAATAAGAAAAGTGGGTTGAGGTCACATGGATTATTAAATGTCTTTAACTTCCCTTTAATAGAGAGTCTAGTTTCAGTATCTCTTGCCAAACATTGGGTTTTTGGACCCGGTTAAGCATTTTCAATCTTTTTTGACATTAAATATATGATCGATATTGATTGAGCGGAACATGTCGTGTCGTTGGAAATATTCCGCCAAATGAAAAAATAATCATACAATGAAATTGGTGAGGAACTATCAGCATTGGTCCCGAGACCATCGCCCCAAGCCAATCAATGGATGACATGCAAGTGAAAAAGATAAATACAACTGATACATTTGCTTACATGTCATTCACTGATTGGTCAACCAATAATCCGTAATAATTGCAGTACCACCAGGCACCATTTAAAAAATAAAAAAATAAAAAAAAACCTACTCTTTACAAAGTGCATTAAGCGGCTCACTACGTATCAAGTCCTTGGTGGTCAAATCGGTAGTTTGGTAAAATGTTAATTATATAACATCAAGTCCTGGTCAAAAAAAAAAAAAAAAACCAACCCTTACAGGATCAACGATCTGCTTTTTGTATTTCCAACAATCATATAGCACAGAGAACTAGCACTCTTAAATATGAAAGGCACTGGCAATAACACTTCTTCAACCAATGTAATGGATTAAACTGCTACAATAATACAATTATATCAACAAAAATTTATGAACTCCTAGATGGGCTACAACTTCTCACAATTTCTTTTCCAAACTACTTTTTTTAAACTGAGGTTAAAAGCAAGTTATACATTTTGTAGGTTGAGTGCTATCAAAATCTTTCCCTTCTGTGGTGTAACATTTCAGCAAAACTTTTTATGGGCATCCCATTCTGCTGCCCCAATTATATTCTGAGATGGGTAGATCGCCGGGGTTAGATCTGCTGCTAAAGTGCCCAGTATTGAAGCATTGAGAAAAAAAAAATCACGGTGGTTTTTCTAATAATGCAAAGGTATCAAAGGAACCAACCACTCCTTGACTCAAAAGACGCATGGCAGCTCCTTGAGCGAACTTCCTCGCAAATAGAAAACAAGGCACAAACGTAGAATTATTACTGCACCATTCTGTCCGGTACTCGGTCTCATAGTATACGTGGTTGATGTCCTGTTTAATTAACCAAAAACTTGTCAAGAAAAGAAGGTGAAAACCTGGTTGAAGAGGAAAAAGAACTTGGTTTACCAGAATGATATCCCTTTTTTTTTTCTTTGTGGATAGGCACCAGAATGACATGACAAAATTAACTACATATATATGCGCGGGCGTGTGTGTATAGAGGAAAGAAAAGAAAAGGTATGGATCGTACTGAGTTCCTGAGGTGGTTTTACAATAGGATTTCCTATTCAGAAAGCAGAAAAATAGATCATTTGTAAAGAAGGGCACTAATGGCTCTGAGGCAGGAGGATAATACCTAATTAAATATTCAGATTCGAGGCAACCTACATAGTTTGTGGCCAGGGATACAATCCTAGGTTCTATATTGATGATTACAAGTGCCTTTACTTCCCTCAACGTCGGCTTAATTACACCTAATCGAAAACAAAAGTCCCTGAAGTTTGAAAAAAATATACATCAATATAGATTAATGGGAGTCAAAATTCTAAGATCCACCAGTACAGCTTGCCCTCTACAATTCTGAAACAGTGATGTTCAAATTTGATTGCCGGCATAATAAATGTGGAAGGGTTGGATAAGGGACTCACTTGAAGGCATTCATAAGTACTTAATATCCAACGGTGGACTAAAGACAAAACTATGCCATACAAGAACTGGAGGGTTTTAAGAGCATTCGCAACCAGATGGATCACATGGTGCACAACAGGACCCAAAATGCACCAGTCAAAAAGACAATTGCTTGCGCATCAAAAACCAGATAAATAAATCAAATAACTTTTCTATCAGTAAGATGGATAATATATGTACAAGGAAAACAGATATCAGGCTTATCCCATCCAAATGATCCACCTGCAATATACGTTTATCATCAAGTAACAGGTGAGACTGCGGAATTATCACCTTTACTTTTTTGATTTGTTGAGGGCTTGAATTTGCATAGCTAAATGTAATAGGATGCCAGCCTTTCCTTTCCATATTTGTCGCAGACTGGTTCCATAATGTGTATGTCACTGTTCTTCGTTCAAGTTCACCTTCAAGATCACTCATCTAACCAAACAGCAAAAAACAGAAAGCAAATGTGATTCCTAGGGCAACATAAATTATAAATGAAAAAATAAAAAGAGAAAGAGAAAGATCATAAAGTGACCTTATAGAAAAGAAACACATATCCAAAGAATAGTGATGCGAAAAGATATAATAAACATATATCTATTGCTTACCGCAAGTAATGTCTGCACATAGTGTTCATCAGGGATACAGTTGTGCTGCTTCTGAAGTTTCTGCATTAAATATTCAGGCAATAATCACAATAGATAATTCATCTGAAAGAAGAAGGCTTGTTGGGTTGCCATAATTAGAGAACAACGACAAATGGCAATTTCAAGAATAACATGAAACAAGTTAGTAGAATGTCAAAGTTTCTCATACCATTGATTCTTCTTTTTCTTTTGATAATGGGAACACATCATTTAATTTTTTAAGGGCACATCAAAAGGTCTTAGTAGAAGATTAAGAAACAAGAAGTGCAAAATTAGGGACATACTCCCCCTAGAGTATAACAGTTTAAATGAAAGCAGAAGAGGGCAAGAAAAAATGAAAGTACACATTTTTCTGAAGATGAGGATTACATGAGTATTTGAGTTTTTCCTCATTCATGGGGGAACTCATTCTTGACCCATCTTCTAAATGAAGATCGGAAGGACCATAATTAGACAAAAGGTTTCTATTACAGAAATTCCCTCGAAACTCAGGTAGATTATCAAGAAAAAAGGGCATCAAAATGTAAACAAAGCTAAAGCAAGGAAGAAACGTGAATACGCCTTTCAATTCTCCCAGAGGTGTAAATTGAATTATTCGAGGACAGGCTCCCAGAGCTACTTTTGCCATAGGCATATATTTTATGCATAATCTTGAGTATGTAAACATGAAACGCATGCATGACCTTGTGAGGTTCTATCTGGAAATTTCTATTTCTCTCGCACTTCAAACATGGTACCCCAGAGGTAAAAAATAAAACTAATAATAATAATAATTTAAAACAAACACGCAACATACACACAATATTGGCCATCAAATTTGTGCCATTATCAGCAATTCCAAATGTAAGTGTCAGAAATCTCCAATTAAAATACGTTCCAGGACAAAAGAGTAGCAGTAGCCCCAAATACTACAGAAAGAAACTACTTGTAAGCTTTGGGAGCAACAAGTTGGCCATCAATACTTAAACATCCACTTGAAAGAATAAATTGTTGAAAGTTTATGCACCGATCAATTGTTTTTGAGTTGTTAATAGGAAGTAAAGATCACTTACAACATTCCTCTTTCCCTTACTCACATCTAGGGGTGGGCGTCTCTGCAAAGAGAGAACCATAATACGCATTTAGATGACCATCCCTCCAGATTAAAAATTTCACGCAAATAATTGCTTTTATTTATAAAAGATGTGTTAGCCGACACAAGATTAAATTATAAATACCAATGCATATCAAGAAAGTTACAAAATATATATATATATATATATATATATATATAAAATTAAAAAAAAAATGTCTCCTAATATACCTTGCAGAACTTCTTGAAGACAGGAAAGATGACCTCGTCATTTACAACCACTCCCGCGTGACTCCGTATTAAAGCGATCCACTGAAATTACTTCAAGTTAGACCACAGAAAATAGATATCTTATCCTCTGTGATGATAAATTTTCTCTGATCAACCACAATTATGATAGTGATACAGTAAAAGTGAAAATATGAATTATGACTCATGCATTCCTTAAGACTAATAATAATTTTCCAGAACAACAATCTCAAACATAGAATGAGGATCCCATTGCCTTTTAAAATGTGTTTACCAAACTTGAGGTCACTTTTCAAAGGAACAACTCTCTTGTGGTTACAATTTTAAGATAGGACATGGTCTTCATCTTGTTGGTGAAGAGGACAGCATGTCCATGTTTCCATACCGTAGTCTACATTATTTAAGCTACAAAAATGTCTCATTGGACTAGAGAATACACTAGTCGAGGAAGGAACTACCTCAGGCTCCAAATTGAACTAAATCCGAGAAGTTTTTCTTTTCTATTTTTATTATTTTTTTTTTTTTTGTTTTTTTGTTTTTTCTTTTTAATTAAGTAACTTGGAGAGAGCTTTGCTAGGGCAGACAGGTCCACAATGTATATAGCATAAAGAAACTAATTGAAGCATATATATATATATATATATATATATATATATATATATATATATAATAGTACTCTACAATATATGATGGAAGTATTCACAACCATTCCAAAATGTTGTTATAGCCATCAACTACATAAATTATGATTTCTTGAAACAACCCAACACAAAATTGACCCACCACTCCAAACGATGGTACAGGATCATACTCATTCTGATTTGACAAAGTCACTTCATTGTTTTTACTGTCACTTTCAGTGATGGCTCCTTTGTCTCTTAAATATATCAAGTTACACCTTCCAAATGGCTTGTAAGAGAAATTAAAAACTTAAATTGGAAAATTAAGAAGCTTTAAATGCCATTTTTTTTTTCCTTCATCGCTCTTTTAAATGGCCATGATAATGTAGTCGACCTTTAGAAAGCTCTATTAAGTTTATAGGTGAAACACAATGATGAATTTAAATCAAAAGCAGAGATGTATCACCTGTGACCCTTTTCGCCATTTGTTCATTGGTATAACATGTGACATCTTTGGATTGTAGCGGCCTTCCTTTTTATCAAGAAAGCTAGAACACAAACAGGTTCTCAGATTCACAACTTACAATTTCAATCATTAATAAGGATTATATACAGAAGATCAGTTCTGCCCAAATTATTTAAAAATTATAAATAAATAATTAATTAGTTAATTAAAAAACACGAAAGGAATCTACCCACCTGTCCACAAAACTCCTCGGAGAAGCCATCAGATAGTTGTATATATGGCTAAAATTGTACAAAGGAACACAGCTACACACAAACAAGAATCAACCAGAGTGAGAAAAAAGATATGGCAAGTGATTCAACTAAAAGATACAGCCATATATAGATCAAAATCACAAAATTGGATTTATTAGCTAATTATAAATTATTGGGATATTTCTTGAGTTGAAAAAAACAAAAACAAAAAACCTAAGTTTGGAAATCTTAAATGATCATAAAATGTCCAAGATCCATGTGGAAATGAAAGAAAAATTAGTGGATGAAAATCACTAAAGGTTAATCATAGGTCAAATAGAAAATATCAAAAAGAAAGTTGCAGTGCACTGTTGATGATACTTGTAATATATGACTGCTACCCTGAAATGGAGTCATTATCATTTCCTGCAGAAAATAAAATAGCACATGTGGTAATATATATATCCATAAAACTCAAGTCAAGCACCAATTAGCATTCGCTTTAGCTTTTGGATCTGCGTGAATTTTTTGGACCTTCAATGAGCAGACATAACTCCTAACAGCTCGTTTGAACTAAAGGAAGCTTAAGACCAATAAATGCATTAAATAATAGTTCAATCTTTCTGGTGGTATATATATCTCCACCCTCTACTTCTCTTCTTCCACACATATGATATATGACACGCCCTACTTTTGGAAGTAAATCAACATGGTAACAATAACCAGCTTTCATTATTTCTATCTTTATTTCATGGTAAAAGAAGTATACCTATATCACAGGTTGCAAATTAATGTTTAACGAGTATGAACAGATCAAAGTAATGCTCCGTCATCCATGATATCCCATGCTCTAATAGATTATAGTAGGCACATAAGGAATAGAATTAAATAATATAAACAATAGGGTAAAATACCCTTGGTCCACCTGAGATTTATCGAATTTACCATCAGATAAAACTTTTTGAAAAATCACTTTGACAAGAGGTAATCAGTCTATCAGAGTTAGGACCATTAACACCGTTAACGCCTATTATGAGAGTACAAAAATGCCCTCACTTTTAATAATTATATTTGATTAACTCACTATTGATGTAAGCAAAGAGAATTACTAAAAATTAAAATTTAATATACATATATTACATATTCTATATATACACGCACAAACTTATAAAGGTCATATATTATAAAGTTCATACAAATATATACACAGATATATATATATATATATATCCTCCAGGAGCACCCACCGCCACAACCAGCAACACTTACTGCCACCTCTCTTTCTCCCTCTCTCTCTCTCTCTCTCGTTTTGGAATCAGTCTTTTCCTAAGCCTTCATTAGTTTACAAAATAACAAGGAAATCAGACTCATCAGTTACATGCTTACAACTCACCGCCACCACCTACTTGATTCTCTCCCCTCCATTTCCTCCATCACTCTCCACTCTCTGTCCTTTCATTGTGCCCCTCTTTCATGACAACACCAAGCAACACGCAAGACTTCGCCATTGGAGGAAAATACCGCCGGCTCACAAAGGGTCTTGGATACACAACAATGGTGGATTTTGGTGGGTTTGATGGCAAAGGGATGGAGGTGCATGACATAGAGAGGGGTGAAATGGAAAGATGGGAGAGGGAGGTAATGGCGATGGCAAGAGGGGAGGTAGTGGCGGCAAGTGAGGAGAGGGTGGCGGCAAGTATTTAGCGATGTTGTTGAAAGTGTGAGAGAGGCCATGCTTTTACTGGGACGCAGCAGTGTCGACAAGGGGAGAGTGGTGGTGACGGGTGAAGCAGCAGTGGTATTTTTATATTGATTTGGTGGTGCCAGCAGTGGAGAGAGAGAAAGAGATAGAGAGAGAGTGGAAGCAATAGTGGAGGTGGTGGAGAAAGAGAGAGTGGGGAGCAGGCAGCAGTGGTGGAGAGAGAGAAGGCAGGGGATAGAGGGGTGGCGGTGACGGTGCCGAAGAGAGGGGGCGGTGGCGGAATGTAGTATATATATGTATAATAGATATGTGAGTGTGTTTGTGTGTGTGTGTGTTTGATTTTGTTAAATCGTAATTTAATAGAGTTAGTAGGGTCATTTACGTCATTTTGCTTCATATAAGGGTATTTTCAGAATTTAAAATTTAGGGTTAATTACACTCCCACCCCCTGAGGTTTCCTCTATTGACAATTAGATGAAAGTTAGCCCTTTTTTAACAATGACACCTTCTCAACTTTGACAAACTTAACAAAGACATCCCAATAGTCATCTGCCACATCTGACCCATGGTAACTTGACATTATTAACCTTTCACCTATTTCATTGGACCAAATTAACCCTCTCTCTCTCTCTTTCCCCACAACTACCCACCCAATTTCTCTTCCTCTCTCTATATCCACCTCTACAACCATTGTTGCCGCCACCACAATCACAATCCACCATTGTTACGCTCTCTCTCTTTCCATTTTCAGAAACAAAACAATAAAAAACTAAAGGTATCTTTGTTTGCTTTTATGAAATAAATTCATTAGTGTCTTTGATTTAATTGGTGTTTCTCTCTACACTAGTGAACCCAACAGCCTCCTCAAATTCTTTGTCCTCCACCAACAAATTCACATATCGGAACCCTTACACTCTATATGCACGTTCATATATATTGACACTGTAACGACCCACTCCACCACATGGTATGATATTGTCTGCTTTGGGCCTGAACCCGCACGGATTTGCTCTTGGGCTTCACCCCAAAAAGCCTCATACCAATTGGAGATGACACATTTACATATAAGTACTTTACCTTTCCTCTACCCTGGCGATGTGGGACTGTGCACCTGTAACTCGCTAGTATGGTAGCCTGACAGTATCTCTCGCACCCGCCTACGGCACACTCGCTCACAGGGTCATCACAATCCACCCCCCTTGGAGGCCCGACGTCCCCGTCGGCACACTACCGGCTGGGTCAGGCTCTAATACCATTTGTAACGACCCACTCCACCACATGGTATGATATTGTCCGCTTTGGGCCTGAGCCCGCAAGGATTTGCTCTTGGGCTTCAACCCAAAAGACCTCATACCAATTGGAAATGAGACACTTACATATAAGCACTTCATCTTTCCACCCAGGCGATGTGGGACTGTGCACCCGTAACTCGCCAGTGTGGTAGCCTGACAATGTCTCTCGCATCCGCCCACAGGGTCATCACAGACACATTCTTTTTTCATTTGTTTGTCAAGGTATACAAATATATGAATGCAACGGCGTTGCATATATATATATATATAGACACACACATAGCCCATATATATCCGGATAGATATATATATATATATCAGAGAAAATTCAATCACCTAAATATCCATTCATATATTTTATTTTTTTGGGATCTTTAATTTGGGTCTTCAACTCCATTCATATACATTTACATATAGATATAGAGACGAGCATATTCACGGGACCCAAAATTATTTTTTTACATACATTCGGATATGAACTTACATCAATTTCACACTATTTACATACGATTATTTAATTACTTTCACATTCCCAGTGGAATTGAATATTGGGTGCGAGAAAATTAGTGGAATTGAATATTGGGTGCAAGAAAATTAAGTGATTTAGGTTTGGGTTGTTGTTCCTGGATTTGGGACATCCACTTCACCATCAAACCCCCACCACCACTTCATCCGCCACCAACCCCCGCCACCTGTGGAAGAGTGGATTTGAGAGCAGTGAGTGCTGTTTGGGTTTAGGTTCTAGTTGGTCCTGGATTTGGCAAACCCACATCGTCATATACACCTCACTGTAAGTGCTTTGAAAGGTTCGATTACTGACACAGTGAGGTGTACTAGATCAAAAATTGGTTACGGTAATCACGATGCCCGATCACGGCTGTGAGCTAGAATCAGTTGTTAAATCGGTGATGGAGAATATCATCGAGACTTTTCCCGGCCACCATTCGTCGTCGAACTCCCACAATGAGAAGTTAGCGCCCCAAGATCTAGAGATGCTTGTGCACAAGGTTTTGAAAGAGATTGGTTGAATTTCCAGATAGTGTTGTAAATTCAAGGGTGTTTTAGTCTTTTAAAATTTATGATATTTTACAATTAAAATTAATTAAAATATTGAACGGCAATTTTGTCTTTTCTCACCTTTTAAGGGCCTGTTTGGATTAAACTTCTAACAGGAGGTATGAGTGTTCAAAAATAAGCCAAGTTTCATCTGCCTATCAATAAGGCAAACTTCAAGGGGGGTGAGTGTAATTAACCCTAAAATTTATCATTTGACTAGCCTAATGGTTAATTGATAGCCATGATAATCGGAGCCATTTTGCAAAACCTCAAGGGCGGTTGACCATAATTTTTCAACAAGTTTTATATAGGTATAATTTCAAAAAATAAAAATAAAAATAAAAAAAATAAATAAATAAATAAAATAAACCAGAGGGTTTGAGGATAATTTACCCAAAAAAATACTAATTGAATATGCAAGAATAAAGCTATTCATATTATGAAAACCTCAAATTTGTCTTTCAAAAGTCCAGGCCTGAAGTATTCATTGAATTTAACCATATGATGCATTGAATGGATAGAACCGTGTGAATGCATTGAATAGGATACAAATGTCATGCAAACAGATAATCAAAGTCACACCTATAGTAGAAGAACACATTAATAAGTACTCCATAATTCATTGAATGGGATAGAACCATGTGATGCATTGAATGAGATAGAAATGTCATGAAAACAAATAATCATAGCCAGGCCTCTAGTAAAAGAAAAATTAAGTTATTCATTTAATTTGATAGAACCATGTGATGCATTGAATAGTATAGAAATGTCATGCAAACAAATAATCATAGCCAGGCCTATAGTAGAAGAACAAATTAAGTTATTCCAGTGGTAACAATACCAACCTGTCCGATAAAAGAACAAATCTCCGGTTTGCTGGATCCTCGAGAGCTGCTTTGAGTAACAACCTCTCAGCTTGAATCATACTTGATTCACCCCATCCAACCTGCAACATACCAACCAAATCGATTAAAGTTGAACGAGAACAGCAACTCAACTATCAATTCAAAACAGGAAGAGAGAAAAAAAAAAAACACATAAATCACTAAATTCTATATTGTATATCCTTTTCCTTTCCTATATTTACTCAGCAACCAAACATGCCATAATTGAAAACTCAACTCAACAAAGACTTTTACCAATTACAAACCACAACTCAATAATAAACAAAAATTTCAATTTTTGATGTGAAATTTCTTTCACCCAGTACATAAAAACAAGCCATCACCTTAATGCTATTGATCAATTGGCGATCATAAAAGAAGGGCGACCTCGTCGTCGTTTCGTCGAACACAAAACCAGGCTCCGAATGAATATATATCGAGAAATTGGTCACATCAGCATTCTACAAAGTCCAATTACTTCAAAACGTCACTAAAAACCTCCAAATTTCGTTAGTTGGTTATTTTCTTAGGAAAGTTCACCAGAAAATCCAAGAAAATGTCACTAAACCTCAAAGAAGCTTCCCCAGAGAAAATCGAGAGGCAGGTTTCGCCTCGCAATGAACATGAACGCAACTTTAGGGTTTCCTTCGAAGCTGTCATCATCTAACATGCTACGAGATCCGAGAGACACCGAAGAGTCGAGCTCGTTTTGTCGTCTGAGAAGAGTCAAGATACAGAGACCGATCATAAGAGAGATCACGAACCTCCAGCCAAGCCAGAACAGGTGGCGAATGGAGAGCTGTGACGCCTTCTTCGTCATGATTGCTTGTACCGAACCTCCACCTCCTCCTGCAAATGCAATTCAAAACCACAACAAATTCAGCCGATATAAATTGTCTTTTTAGAGCGAGAAAATCTAGATAGAGAAAATCTAGAGAGAGAAAGAGGATTCTACATTGAGGGAGCCGGTTCTGGAGCGAATCACGGACAAGCATTTAAGAAGATTGAAACTGAGGACTCTGTTGTTTTTCCTTTACTTTCTTCAAGGATGAGGAAGACGCACTCTGATTATAAATTATATACTAGTGCACATAGTAAATTATATACTAGTGCACATAGTAAATTGGTAATTGAATGGATAACTGCAACAACACGTCGTCGTTTTGATGATGTGGTATGAGACTTTCAAGGGTGGCCATGCCCAGTCATGTTTTGTCTCAAGGAGTACAAACACCACATTATTCCCGTCAATAAACCTTAACCGTGATACAATTATTATAGGAGAAAAAATATTGATTCATAAATAAGTCTCTGACACTAATACCAAATATTTATTCAAAATATTTAGTTAAACTAATTATTATTAATATAAAAATGTTTAGCATAATATATTAATCAGATTATATAATAAATTAACGATTTAAATACGAATTCGACACATTTAATTATCATTATGGTGTATCAATTCAAATCGAGTTGTATTAGCATGTGCAAGTATTGCCACTCCTACACTACATGTGGGGTTGGTCAGTCAATGGGTGGGCCGACCCAAAGTTGAAAGAGCCTAGATTGGAAAGTGGTGTTAACTGTCATAAAGAAAAAAGTTGGTGAGACACAGAGACGTGAGGACTAGGAGTTGATATTTGGAGTAAAGGAACAAAAAAGGTTGAGGGGGAACATGGAAGGAGTTGAAATTTTTGGGAAGGTTGATGGAGAGTGTTTGGTGTGTGTTCAACCTAATCTCACTCTACCACTTTCTTAATCACATTTTTTGAGATTATGACCCATGTTGTCTGTAAATGGATTCATATTTAAGAGACTTTTAAACGTCAAAACTGCCTATCATTAGCTTAAAAGTGTGTGCGTGTGTGTGTGAGATTCATTTACTGTCATGACCATGACCCACACGAAAATAACCCCAAATCTCAAGTGTCCAAAACATTCCTCTTGATGCGTGTCACTTTGCAGCATTTGTGAGGGGTGAAATTTTTTTCTTTTCATTACCTTTTTAATTATTACAAACTTTTCTTTTTTTCTTGCTAATTAAGCATAATTATGTTTTCACGATCTTCTGCAGTGCACTGCATTATGTTGTACGAATTTTCAACACATTTAAATCTAAATTAAACAAATTATTTTTAATTTGAAATAATATATTGAAACGCGATTTGACGTAGAAAATTCACAGGATCCAAACGCCAATTACATTCAAACTAACTTAAATAAATAAAATAGCCCACAATAGGGACCGTACTTTCTATACCTCCATTGGCAATTTGGCACTTAAACTTGATTGTGACTATTTGACTTTAATTCTTTGTTGGTTGAGAGGGTCTTCCATACCAAAATTATTGGTAAGACAACACCTAATCTCATAACTTAATGAGTTAAATCGTGATATTGGAGAGAGACCAATAAAACAATTTTTAAAACCTTCAAACCCATTTATTGAAGAGAGTAGACTTAAATAAATATATATAAATGTTAATAAAGCATAATTAACAAATTAAAATAATTATTTTACGAGCTCACAAATTAAGCCAAGCCAACTCGAAAACATACTACCTGAGTATAGCTCGATCTCAGCTTTCTGAACTATTCAAACTGCAAAAAACAAGAAAATTAGTACATTTTCCAAAATAAAGCTCCGAATTATCTCGGAGAGTTCAGAAAGGAGCTTACTGCAAACAAACTACAGCCCATCACAGAATCGTCCTCTAGGATTACCATTCCTATTCATAGGAGCTCCAGAGTTAGCAGGAACCGGGTCGGGCCAGCTCATAAAGAAAAAAAAAAATTAATACATTTTCCAAAATAAAGCTCCGAATTACCAAATAATCTCATATCATCGTGCACGTAGTAACACATTTCCAAATTATTATAATACAGCATGTACAAGACTTTTTAGTTAAGCATACAATTATACAAACAGTGAAATAAACTATGCATGTGATCATCAAAGGCACACCCCTTTGGCATTAACAATGCCAACTAAACCCACAACTGCTGCCATTCCTCTCATTAGACAACAAGCCCTCCTGAAAATATAGAGCCCTTCTTAGGTTGTGATAATGCATTGTCAGCGCTAATACGCCAACATTTGTGCATAATTAAAGATAATTGCAAAAAATGATAGGAAAGTTTGTTTCGTGCAAACACCTACCAAAACAAAGGTTTCTGACAGAAACATGGTGCCCAAGCGCAATTTCCTTCTCGTGTTCGAATTCCACTGAATTGCAGTGCAGATGCGGAGATGAAATGGTACATTGTATTACCACTGCTCTGTCTTCATCCTTCATATCAATAAAAATGGACTGCCTCCCCAGTACTACCGGAGACCCACTTTGACGTTTTGTGGATCCAAAATAACGTTCAAAATTTTACCGGGGACATAAATTCTCTTTTTGATAGTTTTCCCTTCCAAATACTTGGAGAGTTTCTGATCGAGTGAAGCCAGTTTGAAAGCATCCTCCTCTGTACATGCTTCTTCAACCTGTATAGTACCCCTTGTCTTCCCATTAATCTGAACGGGTAGGACCACAGTGGAATCTTTCAAGTAAGCAGGGTTAGCCTGCAATTATAACAAAGATGATAAATAGTTACCAAGAGAAAGCCCCAGAACCAGTATGGTAGTTATCCAGTGATTTCAAGAGTCCACGGACCATTTTGGATGTCCAACAGAAATTTTAGTATTATGTCATACATATAGCATATAAAATGAGTATGCCTACATCGTTGACACCATAAAACAAGTCTATTCATTTTTTCTTCATACTTCTTTAACAAAAATAATCTTAAGGTTTTTGTCAACTGAACAAATTTCCATTTTATTTTTTTGGTGATTATGCTGATGTCTCCTCGTCACACCACCAACTTTTGTACATTCAAAGCCATGGATAACAAAGTCAACTGATCATTTTATAGATACACACTCACCAAAATGCTTGCATTCTATCTGTAATTCTAAAAATCAAAGTCTTTCAAAATGTGTTCCAATTGCAAGAATGAAACAAATGAAAAATTTAGGGTCTTGTTTCGTTAGTTTTCCAAGGAAGTTTCAGAGAACCAATAACAGAGTATAGTTCGAAAAATTCATTTGTTTGTCAATTTTCAAGGAACTGTTTCTTCAAATTGAGTAAATATATATATATACACACACACATTGTGTACATATGCAGACACAACACACGCACGCACGCGCGCGCGCACACACACGCACACACGTATATATATATATATATCATTTCAGATAACTGTCTTGTCTTTTACTCTCTTAAAACAGTTTTCTATTTTCAAAGTTATTGAAACAAGCCCTTAATTTTCCTAGCAGTTCATGAAAAGCAATAAGCAAACTATATTTCTATCTTTTAATATGTTTCCAGTTAATAACAATAAATCCATCACCAAGCATTAGTTTGAGCCATATCTCCTCAGCCTCACAAAGAGGAGGTTATGCATTTGAGGCCCGATTGGAACAAAGTGGATGCGTGCATCCTACCTATAAAAAGAAAAACTATAGATTCCTCTTATCAAATTTCCAAGTAGAACTACCTCTCAAAAAAAAGTTTAAAATATGCCTTCTAAGCCATGATTTCAAAAGTCGTTTTCTTTAACTCTTAATATTCAAGGGGAAAAGAAAAAATCTAAATATTCATAGCATAACAGTCCAGAAAAGAGCTACTAATTGTTGACTTTAAGAGATAATCAAATCAAAGAGTAAAGTATAAGAAAAAAATAAAATAAAAAAATAAAAAATAAAAAATAAAGGATGAGAGAAAAAGAGAGAGAGGGGAAAGAGAGAAAGAATGAAAGAATACTTTCATCCTTCCACCACATTATATTTATAATAATAAGTTTCAGGAATTACACATAAGCCCCAACATTATATAAGTAATAACAAATAAGACCCTGACAACACTAATAAGGCAGATTTTGCCCATAACCACAAAATATAAACAGGCATGCATGAATTGTCAGGCCCCATACAAGGACATCAGCAAGATCTATAGCACTAAGCCAGCTGATGTCTCAGATAGTTGCTGGCTTCAGCATGGCTGTTTGAAAAGATGTCCACAGCATGAATCATACAGAATTAACCACTAAACAGGCAGAAATGGTTTTACAATTCCATCTTTGGAGAACTCGAAACACTACACTGTTTAACTCAGAATGTAAAATAAGGAATAAGTTCATTTTCTTTTTAAGACTCTTCAGAACTCCCCATTCCCTTCTTTTGTCCTTAGCAAGGGAAAGAAGAAAAAGGGAAGGAAGAAATAGAGGATGGTGAGAACTTAAATGCATTATGAAAAGGAATAGCCACACATTATGCCATGTTCAAGAAAATACTAATCCATACCTTTGGGAAAGGCTCATAAGCCAATGAATTTAAGTGTCCCAAGCGAAACCAAAGCTCCTCGGCCATGTGAGGTGCATATGGTGAAAGCAATAAAATGAATGCTTCAACGATCGACTTCGGAAGTTTATCCCACTAGAAACAAGAAAATATAGACAATGGATTAGAAAATATGCAAACAAGAGTCACCAGAGTTAAATAACATAGAAATACAAATTATTATTGACCAAATATTGATAAACAAGCTACTGAATCACTTTCCACATGTAATCTTCCACCTACATCAACTACCAAGGGTGATAAGCCAATAAATAACATAGAAATACAAATTCTTAAAGAGTCAACAGACTTGGAAATATATATATATATATATATATATATATATATATATAGAGAGAGAGAGAGAGAGAGAGATGTTCCTATTTTATTCTTCATTATTCTTAGAAATACCTTATACGCTGCATTAATGAACTCCATCATTGCAGAAATTCCAGTGTTGAACCGTGTCCCCTCAATCTCTTCCGTTACCTACAAATCAAAAACCATCTCATTGATCTGAGGGTTCATAGGGTAACATCAGAATGAATGTCACATCCGCAATGGAACGTGTTGAACCCCAATACTTCAAGGGTGCTTGCATAAACAGTCCTTGCCTTTTCTTTGTAAAAACATTAATACTATATCTAACACAGGATATACACATTGACCAAACCAATATAAAGAGCTTGGAAGTAAATAACATTGTAAGCTTTTGAAGTCATGTCCTGAATACATTTGTGATGCAATTTAAAAAATGAACTGATGCAGAACTTCAACTACTTCTAAAATTAATTTTAGCCAATGAAGTTCTTTGATATAAGTTACATCAAGTGTCCCAACTCATAAAATCACATTCTGTGATTTTAAAATTTGACGAGTCTAACACTCTACACCCAGATCAGATTAGCATCCAACCAGTACCAGTGAAACATAGGTCATTATTTATTTATTGAGAGAGAGAGAGAAGGATGCATACAAACAGCTCATGACCATGCCTACTATACAGAATTTCGAATTACAGAACATGAAAAAGAGTGATAGTAACCGTATTTGATTTTTTTCTCCCACTAGTTATGAGAAGTTATAATTTATTTAGATGTTAAGGCCAATGATGACAATGCGCAATTCTCTTAAGAATGAAAATTTGAAATGGTGAAGTTGTTTTCATTAATATTGAGTAGAGAAGTAACTCCCATTGTGTTCCCAATCAAGCACTTAGTATTAGTGACCTTACCTCTGTGATTAGGGATTGTAACCCAGGAATTACAGTTAGATTAAAAAATAAATAAACATTTGAACTATGGACTGCAACAATTCAATTCTAACACTATGGTTTTGAGGTATCAGAGCCTGAGGCTTCAACAAATGTACAAGGTGAGAAAAACACCCGTGGTTGCTTCATACAACGAGATAAAAATAAAATTTTGATTAAATAAAAAAGGTCCAACAATGCCTAAATAGAAAACACTATTTTCATGAGCTGTGACTGCAAGACCAGAAAGGGAGAAAATGAAAATTGGTTACTGGTGACATCATTGCAAGTAAACTTTGGCTTACGAAATCAGAACTTTCTCCGAGTCCATGACTGAAGCAGAAATCAAGATTTGGAAATTGAAGGTTATTGGGTCATATTACAGAAGATGAAAATTAAAACGGACAGTTCAAAGATGGAGATGTTGAAGAGAAAATTGGGATGGACCTAACAAACCCAAATAGTATAGCTTCAGATCTTGCTTCGATTTTCTTTACTTTTTTTTTTAATTTCTTTGTCATGGTAAAAGATGGAATTTCCTCGTTTAAAATAAACAGATTGCAACAGAGTATCGCCATGATCAAGGAAGCAGTAAGAATTGTGTTTAATGGAGGAGCAAATTACAGTAATTTTAAGTAGCTCTCACCACTACCAAAAGTGAAGACCCTTTTCTCAAGTAACACTACTAGAACAATTCAATGCCCAAATTAGTAACTTTCTACATTCAAGTTTTACGTACACTAATTCAACTCTTATCCCGTTGGATTTCCTCAAACCCATGCATAATCTACTGTTTGCCTGAGCTTATATAAAAAATTGTGAGTGGAATTAAGACGTAATACACAGGCCTTTCACCTTTATGACTGTAACCATGCCCAATTTTCTGGATGAAATTTCCTAGCATTTAGAAGATAGATTTCAAAAGCCTAAAAATATTAGAAATCCAATCAAAATATTGGACATGCTTCAGGTTTATTATTAGTTTGTTATGTAGTTAAATTTCCTTCATTTGCTATAATCAACAAGTCTATAATTGCAGCTTCTTTCAGGGAAAACTAATTTTCTTTTCAGTGAAAATGGTGTGTTCCCGTAAAACTAGCCACCTGTGCCTAAAGGATGAAGTGGTCAGATAAAGCTAATTTCTGGAATTGTACCTCCACCCTAGACCTATTTCAAGTGATGTGCAAAACTTGACACAAAATAAATAAAATAAGGTTTGGCAATATGATTGCATGGCCTCCTAACAACATCTTAAAATAAGAGCAAGAAAATTGCTACAAAAATGACTAGATTGATAGGCATGCACTATCGTATTCTGACAACAAAACACCCTAAAAAGCAGAACTCAAGAAAAAGGTGAAATCAATGAGGTAAAGGAGGACCTATGTAAACAAAATTTAGACATTACCTTCGCAATGCATTTATGAAGACAACGAAGTTGTTCCAAAGAGGGTTCACCATCAATTGCCATTGATCCATCTCTAAAAGTACCATTAGGTAGAGGTGAGCCAACTATCAACCTCCAAGCTCTCCCCAAAAATCGATGAACACCTTCGATACCACTAGTATTCCAAGATTTTGAGTCTCTAAAAGTTCAAATATAAAAGGAAATTGTCATGAAAGAAAGAGAATGCCATTAAATTTACAAGTTTCAAGACATCATGATCTGAACTTAACGTTCTTTTCTGGCAAGTTATAAAAATAAATAAAAAATAAAAATTTAACATTAAAGAAGGCTACCTAAATGGGCCCATGAACATTTCATATAATCGAAGAGAATCTGCACCATACTCAGAAACAACGTCATCAGGGTTTATAACATTTCCCCTGCTTTTACTCATTTTGTAAGCCCGGGCAATCAAACGAATATTCGGATCATCTTTTAGTACATAGGAATCACCAGATTTCATGACCTACATAAAGGGAATTCACTATTTTTTAAAAGAAACAACAATAACAAAAAGATGAAATGCCAAGAATAAAAGCCTCATCTCTAGTAAATTTAGTAGCCTGCATCAAGACCCAACAAGAAATACGTAATACATGCAAGAGGGTGTACCTTTTCCTCAGGTATTATTTCTTGATGATGCTCACCCAACACATCGACAGAGTCTGCAGAAATGAAATTCCCATCCGGATCTCTGCATGCCATATATTGAACCTGCCACTTAAACCATTAAAAACATGTAATAGTGGCATTACTTTGTCATAACCAAGCAACTTTACTTACTTCACCGAGGATAATCCCCTGGTTTATGACGCATTTAAAGGGTTCTTTGGTTGACACGACACCAATATCATAAAGAACCTGAGAGACAAAAATTAGATCAAAAAGAGCACCATAGAAAATAATAATAATAGTACTACTGTACTAGACATCAATTTAGTGTCAGAAAATGGCCGTAGACAGCATTATGCTCCAATTTCCTAGCCAGCTTTTGTTTGTAGGCAACCTTATTCTCGTTTTTAGGTGAGGTACTGCCTCAAGGGCTTCTCCAAGAAGCCTATATACAACTGCATCTCCACCCCTGGCTTGGCTTATAAGTGTTAGGCTAAACAATTTCTCTGAGATTCAAGCTAGCCAAGCAATGTGACGGACCTAAGACCTGGTGCCTCAAAACAATCCTAAGTAGCTCCTTTAATAGGAAACACCCTGACAATTCTTTCCTAAATAAGAATATGGATAAAGATGATATAGATTATAGATGCAGCATTTCCACAAAAAGCTGCACTTGCCTATGCTCCTGTAACAAAAAAAAAAATGTGATGCCACCTAACAGCAACAAGCCTAAACTTTAGTAACAGAGCAATATAAAGAACAAACCTTGTGCCAAAACCTAGAATAAAGTAAGTGAAGAACAGCATGTTCAGCACCACCAACATATACATCAACTGGGCTCCAATACCTGCAGATAAAGAGAGTAAAACTGCTAAGAAATAGATGAGAAACTTAGTGCAGCATATATTGCTGATAATACAATATAATTATATGAGAAGAGACAAAAGTAATATGGAAATCTTGTGTTAGCAAAGGCTGCTCTTACATTTCTTTCGTTTTATCAACCAACGCATCAGAATTTTTGGGGTCCATGAATCTTAAATAGTACCTGGACATGAGTACAAAAGTATAAAACTTCAAATCTGCATAGAACATACGCAAAAAGGTCTGAATGTGGTTCGGTCAATAGTGTGTTAGAACCTTCCAATTGAAAAATAAAACTATGTCATGCAGATTAGCTCCCATGTGACCACCTGTCTAGTTCCATTATCCATGGATAACTATCAGGAGATTTTTCCATTCAATTTGACAACAGAAGCTAAGGAGGGCATGTTATCTCCCGTTGAGTATATGATCAATGCATAATTGGAAGAGTTTATATGTGACATCAAATAATCATTAATTTGTGATGATGCAGTGTTGGAGAAAGTAAATAACAGTCATGAATTAAGAACAAATAAAAGACGAGGACATTGTGATGCATGTGTCAAAGTAAGAAAGAAGACTTCAGAATTATGCACACTTGAAGGGCGCATAAATACAACCAGATAACTTCAATGTTTTAGTAATGTGCAACAGATAAGGCCAATGGCACCAAGTGGTTGATCTTGGCAGTAACTAGCTGAAAACAGACGCATCTACATAATAGAAAATGAATTGAACTTCTTTCCATGATGCTGATAGTAAAAGTCCAGAGAAAATGCCAAGGAAACTTAAATAGTCACGATTAATGCCAATGATAACCACTCTTTTCAATTATGACCATATCATCTCTTAATGAATCTACACAACCAATCATGTCATGTCCATTCTTAAAATGACAATGACATCAGATAGGGTTTTCAAAATAATACCTTGCTTAATACTAGCACCACTGAAACGGTATGCCAGCTTCAAAAAGGAATAAATCTTCTTTGTCTGCTTGCCATAATTATTGTTAAAAACATTAAATTAAGGAGGAGAGTAGTTCTGTTCTACTAAAAAAAATTAATAATTTTTTTTTTCTTTTTTGTTTAAACGATAGGTACCAGCTTGGGAGTTCAAATACCATTCTTCATACTTCTGAGTAAATTTAGTTTTGACAAATCTTATTTTTTCTCTTTTTTGTGTGTGTACATGTGAGGACAAGTTTGCATGTGCATGTTGCCCAACAACATTGTTCAACAGGATGGGAAACAAGATACAAATCTTAATGAGAAAACTATACGTGCGAGGATACTTTAGACTATGAAAAGTCAATTTCAGCCCAAATAATGAAGGAACTGAAAGAGACCATAATAAAACCAAGTGAAGTGCATCGTACAGTAAGAAAATTTCATGTATTCAGAATCAAGACTTTACCTTGCCCAAAAACCACCTAACAAGCATAACTGCATAAGAGTGTTTTACATTGGCAATGTGTTTAGAATGTTTTCCTTGTTTCTGAGTTCAGTGGAAATAATTCAACCAGAAAATATTTTGGACATGTAGGCTTAAGTAACCATTTTACTGAAATCACAGTTTTATATTCATGCAAAGAACAACATAAATACAAATTATACAAGTAGCATACTGCTAATAAAGGGTCATAAAGATCTGGCAGTTGGAATTATTTCCACGGGCTGCTCTAAGGATTCGAACTCATGTTTTCACACTCAACAGCCCAGGTGTTTTACCAATGCATCAAGCGATGGCCCCTAACCAAAAAGCTACTAATCAGTACTTATTTGAGAAAAGCAAATGTAGTATTAACTAGGGCCATCAGCTTTCTCTTGTTTATACCCAATCCTTTTTCACCCAACCAAACTAGGTGGTGGTTATGTGGGGACAACAACTGGATGCAATTTTATAGTTACATGACAGCAAAGATTCGATGATTTATTTTCTTTTTATTCCCTTCCCCTTTCAAATCATGCTTTATTCCCTAAATCCCTTTAAAAGCACCTCCATGTATTACAATAAAGTTTCCATTCTATTCAACTCCTATACCACTTAAAAAAGTTCTAAACTGTCTCTGGAAGGGGAGGGTAATAAGACAGTGAAAAATATAAAAATTTTGAAATGTTTAAAAGGAATTAAAAAAAAAAAAAAAAAAAAAGAGAGAGAGAGAAGTCCACATTACCAGCAAGAACCAGCCCATTGTGGCATGGTATTTGTTTCACGTTTGGCAGGTTTTCCAGAGAGAGGGTCTGTGGTTTTGACCTGAAAACCAGTCTTTTAAATGTAAAATATGAACACTAAGAAAAATAACTAGTGGCATAATTGGGGGGTGAGCAAAGAAAATGAACACCAGTAGGAATTACTAAAGAAAGAAACAACATGATGCCCAAGTACTGCCCGTCTAAAGTTGAGGATATTATAATGGAGAGAGAACAAAAGTTGGCCAATAATTTTTCTTTTTTTTCCTGAATGCCAATGATTTATCTGGATCAATGCATGAAAATTAGAGCAGTTGTTGCACTCAAAAAAAAAAAGTGACTTGGGGGTTTGAAAGTCCGAATTTTTTAACCATAGTCACTTTCCTTCACGGTCCAAATGATTGCAGAGAGCCTAAGAAATGGGAAAAGGAGAACTGTATCTTAGAATGCATTAGGGGTGGCAATTTAAGCCCAAACCCATTAAACCGCCCAAACCTGCCCACTAAAATTAAATCATTTGGGCACCCAAATTTAAATGAGTGGATAACAATGGGTAAAAAGTGGGTACCCATACAATTCAATGATGGGTTAAGAATGGGTACCCATCTTAACCCACTCAAACAAAACCCTCTTTTATTTCTCCTCCATTTCTCTCTCTTCCATCTCCTCCGTTTTCTGCCTCTCTCCTTCTCTTTTATCTTTTACATTTTTTTTCACCTTTTTTGCTCTCTCCTCCGTTTCTCTCTTCCCTTTCTCTCTCTTCTCTCTTCCCTCTCCTCCCTGCTTCTTTTCTTTTCTTTTTTTTTCCCTGCGTTCTCTCACCTCACTGCTTCTTTTCTTTTCTTTTTTTTCTTGCATTCTCTCTCCTTGCTGGTTCTTTTCTTCTTCTTTTTTCTTTTTCCCCTTGTAATAACCCTCTCTCTCTTCACTCTACCTTCAAATTTTGTTTTATTGTATAAAATAAATGACCAACAATTAATCAAAACTCTTGCTCAAAACTCCTTTTTTTAAATAATTAATATTGTTGAGTAGGTTGTATAGTGACTTTTCCCAAAATAAATTAAAAATAAAAAATTGTAAATCTTGAAATCAAAAAATTAATTAATATTGTTGATTAAGTTGTATAGTGACTTTTCCCAAAAGAAAAAAGGAAAAAAAAAAAAAAAAAATATTGTAATGCTTGAAATCAAAAAATTAATGTAAGAACAAATTATTAATAATTTTTTTAGCCATGGATGGTGGGAAAGTAAAAAAAAAAAAAAAAAAAAACGGGTTGGAATGAGTTAACCTGTTTTGACCTGCCCATTTGAGCCCTTACCCATTTATGACACACTATTGATGGGTTGAGAATGGGTTACTAACCCATTCCAAACCCACCCAATTGCCACCCCTAGAATGCATACTCCAACATCAACCTGTTACAAGACTCCAAAGTTTCATTTGTTCTCTATGTCTTCCCAGCAACCACCGGCAAGGTAATTGTCATGCCGGGACAATTTGATCTTTACATAACTAAAAAATGGAAAAATATCCAAGATTAAAGTAACACATTCAGCATTATGGGGCAACAACCAAAAGACATAACAAATAGACAAGAAAAAATGAGGCAAAATGTACCCAAGATTCTGCTTTGGAAAGCGGCGGTTCCCCTGTCCCGGTAGGGGTGAAATCATCCAACTCAGGAAGGGTAAGGGGCAGCTCAGATTCAGGGAGGGGAACACCCTCACTGGTGTTGTTCAAAAAAATGACTGGAATGGGCTCCCCCCAATAACGTTGCCGAGCAAAAAGCCAATCCCTCAACTTGTAGTTCACCTAAGAAAGAGAAGAGACAAGTTTAACAAGACGTAAATTATATTGTATGGTATAAGCAAAAAAAAGGCCCGAAATTGCCCTCGCCCTCCTCCACATCCCCCTCCTCTCTTTCCCAACTACCTGGGGGGGGGGGGGGGAAGGGAATTAGATAAACTTTAAAAGCATCTTATATAGATAAAGAACCACTAAAGTTACCTTTTTGTTCCCATTACCCGTTTTCTCAACCCACTCAATGACTTTCAAAGCAGCTTCTTTGCTAGGCAAGCCATTGATGTCAAGCCCTAATGTCGAACTTGATGAATTTATAATAATTCCATCACCCGAATAAGGTTCTCCAGAATAACTGGAACTTTCTTCATCTGGTGTTACCACCCAACAAACTGGAATGTCATACTTCAAAGCAAACTCATGGTCACGCGTATCATGTGCAGGTACAGCCATTATTGCCCCTGTACCATAGCTGCAGTGTAATAAAGTTTATGTTTTACAGTCAGGTTTTTAAAAAATCTCCAAGAATTTAAAGGTTTAGTGACTCAAATTTTTGCATAGCTGGCCAATGGTTAAATCACGCTTCACATCCTAGACAACACATGCAGGTGGATGTTACAACTTTGCCTGACACACCGTCAACCAGTAGAAAAGTCAAAAGAATATACTAAAGAAAGAAAACATCCAAACCAACCTCCCCAAAACATAATCTGCAACCCATATCGGGATAGGCTCCCCATTAGCTGGATTTCTTGCATAACAACCACTAAAGACCCCCGTTTTTTCCTTCTGAAGCTCAGTCCTCTCAAGGTCACTCTTTCTAGAGGCAAGCTCTTTGTATTCCTCCACCTGTGCTCAAGATTAGTCCTCTTCCAAATAACCCATGGTTAACAAAACTCTGAGACAAAATTGTAAAAGGAAACAGATGAACATACACATTTGCTTTGGGCCTTGGATACTATTGATGACAACAAGAAATGCTCAGGTGCCAGGACCAAATAACTACAAAGAAAGAGCAAAAAATAAGAACATATTCAATCATTGTCGATAGGAATGAACATTATGAACAAAGTGCGAGATGTATACGTTGCTCCAAAGATGGTATCTGGCCTGGTCGTATAAACTTTGATTTTTTCATCTCTTTCCTGTCCATCAGCATCAAGAACACAAAATTCCACCTCAGCCCCTTCTGACCTCCCTATCCAGTTCCTTTGCATCTCCTTTACACTTTCAGGCCAATCAAGATCATCTAAATCTTCAAGAAGACGATCAGCATATGCAGTTATCCTGAGCATCCATTGCCGCATTGGCTGCTTGGTAATAAACAATGATACTGTAAAATTATAAAACCATCCAAAACAGATAAAAATAAGAGAAAAATCTCAAATGTTGGACAAAGGGCTTACAACACATAAAAGAACATAAACCTAACATACCTTTCTTATAACTGGATGACCCCCACGCTCACTTACACCATCCACCACCTCCTCATTTGCCAAGACAGTGCCAAGAGCAGGGCACCAGTTGACCGGCACTTCAGCCTGAATAAAGTATTAGAACACCATGAAATCTAGTTTTCGGAGGACACGAATTTAAAAAGTATATCTCTGAACTAGAAATAATTATGGACCTGATATGCCAGTCCTCTCTTTAAAAGCTGCAGAAAAATCCATTGTGTCCACTTATAATAGTCAGGTTCTGTAGTAGAAATTTCACGATCCCAGTCATATGAGAAGCCTAATGATTTAAGCTGAAAAACAATATACGCGTTAATACATTGAAAAATTATGGGTCATTTGGTAGAATTAAAAGAGCAACACACTATTGGTAAGACTAAACTGTCATAAATGGTAATATAATATAATTAGCATGAAAAAAAAAAAAAATTGCCAGTTCGCCATGCCTTTACAGTGTGCATCAGGAATGACTCCTACATGGAGACAAGTGCAGGCCCTCGTTAATTTGCTTGGAAGAAGCGCTTGTTTTTGGGTAGAATAGCCTGATGTTGTTCTTAGAGGGAGTTTATAAAGCTTTACAATTAACTAATTGGTGCAGAGGACAGAAATTTGATCCAATTCCAAATTTCATTTCCATCTTAAAAAATAAAGAAACACATCATCACCATCCTTGCCTTAACAACCCCCTCCCCCAAAAAAAAAAATATGATTATTAAAAAAAGAAGAAATTATTTCAGTGGTTGCACCTTCACAAAAGAAGAAGAAAATGGGAGGAATCATTAGCTCCTAATCCAAAACTCTAGTTCATACAAGGCGTATTATTTCAGTGGTTTCACCTTCACAAAAGAGTTTCAAATCCTATAACTTAGATTTTAATGAAGCATGTCTGAGGGTCAGTTCCTTCTCTTACTAATCTTGTTTTCTTGAATCACCTAGAGAGAACGTTTTCTACCCACCATTTTATAATAGTACCCAACTGGTAGAAGTTTGTCACTTTTTTACTTGAGGGTTTTCTCAAACCTTGTTCACCTTACTTTCTTGTTTACTTGCTAGTTGCTATCATTTGTGTTTATTTCAGCCTATTATTTTTCTTGATAATTAATAACCTTGCTTGTCCACTTAATAATTATTATTTTTCTTGATAATAATCTTGTTGTGGATAATGGTCTAGGACATTTTAGTATTTGTGTAGCTTTTGATATGATATTTTGCAACTCAATTTTTTAAAGATTTGGCTCTCAATTGAGTCATTGTTTAGTGAATATTACACAATCAACTTCAAGAGGTATCATAGCCTATAAGAACACCATTTTCCACAAAAGGATCAGTGCACTACTATTAATTCTTCAACATATACTGATATGGGGTGAAACAAAATAAGAAGAAAATTTGAGAAAAAAAGGGATGATTTATCAGTAGAAAATGACAAATGCGGCTTTCAATATATATACATATATAAACATGCATCTATATATTTGTTTTTTATTTAAAAAAAAAAAAAAATCAAAAAATCAATAGCTAATTAGCACCATCCAAGATTAAACATTGAAAAACAAATAAATTATGAAGATCCCTTGTGGAAAAAGCATCAATTGAATGACTGCAAGCATGAAAGGAACAAAAAAATATGAAAAAACATTGGGTTCCCCTGCAATGGAGCAACAACAGACCCTTATGAAGAAATTGTACGTTCATTCCTCCTACTACACTCTGCCCAAAAGAATTTGCTTTGAAGCACAGGAACTGACCATAATTAATCATCCATATTTGCTTAACCATGAAACATTTTAATAAAGTCAGTAGGCCATAACCCAGTAGCCTTCACCATCAGATCAAGGTATACTTCAAATTAATCTTTGGCCAAGTTAAAAAAATGAGATCAATTAGCGAGAGTCCATGAGTTGTTTTAATCGAGGTGTCAGGTATAATCAAGCAATTTTACTTTAAGCAAACTTTGGGCACACCAGAATGAATCTCAAAACATGAATAAATAAATACTTTAAAATATATTTTAATTCATAAAATTACCCAAAAGAAAAGGAGAGTAAACAACCTGGGAGCGGAAGCGATTGATGTTCCTCAGTGTTGTAAATTTTGGGTGGGTTCCTGTCTGTCAAACACGAATTAGAAAATTACCAACAGGGACCAATCACCTTTGAAATGCAAAAAGGTACAAGTCATATATAGTTGCTAAGAAAACCTGGATTGCATATTGCTCTGCTGGTAATCCAAATGCATCCCATCCCATTGGGTGCAAAACATTGAAACCCTGCATGCGTTTCAATCTAGCCAGAATGTCTGTGGCAGTATATCCAAGAGGATGGCCAACATGTAGGCCAGCTCCACTGCAACAATGATCAAACAGGATACCAAAATCTCCATCACAACAAGCCAAGTCAGGAAAATTCCATAAATTAGACTAGACATAGGCAAATAAAAAAAGAACATGTTTTCAACGTATTAAACAATCCAAATGCTGAAAGTTTGTCCATTTCTTAGAGTGAGACCATCAAGTCAAAATATGTGTGTGAAGAAAGTTAAAATGATAAAAGGAGGGAAAATTAAACCCACATAAGAACCTGATGTCCTGCAGAATGTGATGCTTGCATAAAACTTATGAGCCAAAGTGTGAAATTTTAAGCCAGTGAGATAAGATAATGGCATAAAATGGAGTATGCCGAGCAAAATAAATAAATAAATAAATAAAATGAACCTAACTTAATACTTGTGATTGACAAAGAAGTGTAGAGAGAGAAGAAAGATCTTCACATGGAAAAATTATGAACTTCAAAGAAGCCTATTGTAAAATCCCGTAATGCAACGGGTTTTTGTAGAATAAAAGGATATCAATTGCATATATAGAAGTGATCAAGATCACGCGTAATGGAACAATAATTTATATGCGTACAAATAGGACAGGGAAGTGACTGTAGACTAACTAGTGTACCAATATAGGAGACTGATTTAATCCATCAATCAATAAGAGTAAGGCCGAAAATAATGTGTTTAAGGCCTTGAGAAAATACATGATTGATTTGGGTTTAACCAAAAGGTCCAAAACTGTCTTCACAAAGAGTTGTATGGAGAAGATGAACCCAAACTTGATGAGTTAAATCAAATAGTATTAGTTTATGTTGTTTGCTAACATGATAGTTTTATTAATCAAATTACAGAATCTAAAAGTTTTAAACAAGTAAGACCAAAACAGAGTAACTCTGGAAGCAATTACTTGAATGTGGAGATTGTGAAATTTTTTCTTTCTTTTTTTAGAAAAGTTCAAACAAGCACACACCCACAATATTGCCCCTAGCAGGGCTCGAACACTCAACCTCCCTTTTGGAGGAGGTGATATCATACCATCCAAGCTAACGCCCAGTAGTGAGATCGTGAAATTTCGAACCCAAGATAGAACCTAAAAGTGAGCAGTTTCACTGTATCTATATGAGATGAATTCACAGGTAATGACGACATTGACCATAGATTAGAGCAAAGGAGATGAATCATGAATCTAAGAGATGCTTTTGGAGAGTTTTAACATTTTATAACACATGAAGTTGCTTAAATAAGACTTGAAATCATTGAATTTGCTACACAAGACATGGTGTAAATAAATATAGTGATAAAAAAACCAGTGTATAGAGTCGAATATGATAATTTAACCTAATGCACAACTACCTATCAGTGCATTTGTAACAGGCACGATTTTAATCGGAATTCATCATATGAGAGAGAGGGAGAGACCTGGGGTAAGGGAACATGTCGAGAACATAGAACTTAGGTTTCGAGGTATCAACATCATCAGGTGTCCGGAAAGTGCGATTTTCCTCCCAATAACGCTGCCACCGAGGCTCAATTTCGTGATAAGGGTACGCCCTCCTCGGCTGCTGCTTCTTCAGCTCGTCGACTTCGTTCAATTCCTCAGGCACAGTGCCTCCACCACTGCTATTACTTAAACTACAGTACACTCCGAGACCAAAAGATGCTCCGGCGGTGGCGTATCTTCGAGATTGCCGTCGTCTTTGGGCGGAGAACAGAAATGTGCGGCGGCGTAACGGTGGTTGTGGAATCAATTGAATTTGCAGATGAGTGTGAAGCTGAGCGTTCATGTTTGGCTAAGGGGAGAGTTTTTGTGGATTGGAGTGAGAAGTGATAAGTGGTGGTTCATGAGGTTTGAAGCTATTTATGCATATGTAGTTAGAAGATCCGTTGGCGGTAAAAACAGAGTGTCCCTTTTGTATTCGGCCCATTTCATGCGGTCTGATCACCTGTGTGTATGGATTATTGTAAGAGGAGTCTTATGGGTCGGAACATAAAGCACCTAGCCCGTTACAATTGTGATCCACACATGATCTCCATCAAGTTATGGACCCCAGTCCAATTCAATGTAGAAGATGTCAATTTATCATTTTTCTTTGTTATATCCTGAGTTCTCACATGATAAGATCATATAAATTTAAGTTGAGCATAATTTTTTAAGAGAGAGACTCTCTAGTGTAACGATATTGTTGCATTTTTTAACGCATTTAAATTTTGTTTAACACATTTATTTTATATTTTAATATAATTTCAACACATAAAACAAATATGTTGAAACACAATTTAAATACTTTAAAACTAGATGTTAAAATGAAATTTTAACACATTTATATTTATTTTTCACACATATGTTCTAAATTTCAATACATAAATTTATAGCACCGTTACGTAAAACTTACAACAGCAAAGGGTCGAAACACATTTTTTTAGATGCAGTTTGAATTAGACCCTATGAAAAAAAAAAAAAAAAAAAAAAAAAAAAAAAAAAAAAAAAAAAAAAGAAAAAGAATTAGACCCGAATTGCTTAAATTGATACTAACCACCTCTACCCAAGTCCAATTCTAACAACCAAGTTAATCCAATTGCGGCTAAAAATTCATAGTGTGGCTCTAGTAATTGGCATGTCCAAGTTGTATCCTTATTTCATAATAAAAAAAATTTACAAAAATGTCTGCACACTTTACGACCCTTCAGGTTTGTAGACATCAGAGTACTTCATTTAGACTCGAGGTATGACAAATACATTCCTTTGGTCACCATGACCATTAACGGAAGCCTAAATGTGTCATGTTGATCGAGCGATTGCGAGGAAGTAAGGGAGGTCTTTGCCGTGGGGTTGCAACTCAGGCTTTGCCAAGTTCAAATGGGTACGGAGACAGTGTGGAGTATACGGTGCATCTCACCATACATATGGTTTATCGTCGTACTCATACGTAGATGGGAGATACTCATATGGAGGTTGAAATGATAATCATATTGCACACATGGAGATGGAGAGGCATGAATCTTCATTTCATTTTGAATATTGTGAAGAATCGATTGATACAAATATCATTGATTAGATTTACATGGAAGACAGGTATAAAGATAAAGTTACACTGCGGAAATTTAAAGGTAAAATTACATGGAAAGATAAAAGCTACACGAGCGTGAAGAAAATTAAATCATGAATACAATAAAGATAAGTTGCGCGAGTTTAAAGTAGCACTAGCTCGTTGATCGTATCTGAGATCCTTGCTCTCATTGAAGAAGTCTTCAATTTATAGAAGACTTGTATGCGCAAATAAATCTTGGTCAAGTGAGTCTCTTATAATATAAGGAGTGAGATGAATGATTGTAACGGGTTAGGTACTTTGCGATTCCACCCAAAAATTTAAACTGGGTGGAACTTGTCAAGTCTCGAATTTTTAGAACATGATAAAAGAAAATAAAACTTATTAAAATGAAATAAATAAACTCTTATACCATTCATTAAAGGTCCCATTTCAACAATATTATAACTCTTCAAATTTTAAAATAGACAAAAACTTATCTTTATCCTATAATAATAAACTCTCTTAATACCTCTTCTAAGGCTCCTTGTGCAACAAACAAAACATCGATGATTTTTGAAAATTCTTCATTAACCAATTCTTTCAGAACTGAAAAATATTAGAATGAGCACAACCGCCCAATAAGAAACATGCTCTAAATCCATATATGCTTAACCCACCTGTTCTATTACCCCAGGAGTCAAGCTGACCCCTTCTGCAAAATCTATCAGTATTGGCCTCTTCCATGGGTTGTGTCTTGAGACAAGATGACGCTTCAAGGCGCAAGGAGCAAACACGTACTATTTGTTACTTCAAATGAAACTCGAATAAGTTTAACTCAAAACTATCATTTTCTTTCAAAGATTCAATCTTTATACATTAAAAGACTCTACTGACTTCAAAGTGACCTTGATTGAGATAGAACAATAAATACATTATTAACATTTTCAAAGCATTTTGAGAAATATTTATATACATGCGCCAGGGACTAAGCAAAATTAATATTAAATTATGAAACAATAAAAACAATACTCGAAACATAATCCAACTCTAAATAATGATAAATCTTTTTTTTTTTTTTTTTGATAAGTCTTAATAATGATAAATCTTAACACCCAAAGTTAATAAAATCATTCTTGACATGTATATCGCACACAATAACGGATTTCTGATCATTCTCCGGCAGATCGCTGACCCCAACTAAATTTCAAAATAATTATTTCAACCGAGGATTCTCACTCCTTCCTTTTTCAACCGATTATACATGTACACACGCAACCAATTTATTTTCAAAAAATAAAATAATACACAAGTTTCATTCCTTGTACAATTTTCACAAGAGAATAATCATGCAACCAGATACAAATTCTCTTCCCCTAACACTCTACTCAAGTTATACGTAAGCAATTAAATAAACATACAAGTAAAACACATTCATGCTCTATTTTTATTTATTTATTTAGGCAATAGAAACATAAATCAATTTGTGAAGCACCAAGATTTTGTTTTATATATGCATACATATATAAATATTTTTGTCACCATGTAACATCGTAGGTTTATTCAGTTTGGTTCACGTCTCCCTACCTCTGAATATGGGAAGCACTAAAAATGATATGGAAATTAGAGGTAATGGCTTGTGGGGTTAGAAAGTTGGAGGATAAAGGGAGAGGGGAAAGATGCTGAAGTTAGAGGTTAAAGAGAGAGAGAGAGAGGAAAGATGCTAGTGGGTTTCGAACATGGGCCAAAGGCCCTAAACAATACACGTCTTACCTCTAGGCTAGCACCATACCTGCAAATCTCCTATGTGCTTGAATTGTTGAATAATCTTATGTGAGAAACATGAGTTATCATTACATATGGTAATATATAGCAATTACATAAGAGAAGAGGTGGATGAAGAACATAACATTATCTTCTTCAATGAGAATGAAGATAGGGCGGCGACGACGGTGAGGGCCACAGAGGGAATAGAGAGAAGGATTTGGTGTTGGGTCTGAGAGATAGAGTGGGGAACCTTGTGTAATTTTAGATGGGTTATATTCTTTCTGATGGATCCAATCCACTTTTAAGTTTTAAAACACATGTCGCTTTTTTATTGAGCCACCTTAGTTGAAGAAGGAAATCTTTATTGATGGGGTAGGAAGTAAGTATTGTACGTCTTTATAAGAATACAGTAGAGGTGCACATGGTCCAATTTGATCTAGTTTTGAGGATTAAAATTTAAAACCGAATCAAACCATTTGAACCATGAAACCAACTAGCCCAAATTCTGAAAAAACTGTTCGGTTGGGTTCCATGATTCTAGTTGAATTTTATTTCCTTTTTTTTTTTTTTTTCTCTTTGATTTGTATATACAACAAAAATATCAATAAAAGCATTCACATTCCCGAATCCAAGACTAAAATAGAGAGACAGAAAGAAAGGGGGGGGGGGGGGGGGGGGGGGAATGGGTGGAATAGACCTAAAAGTTAAACCTTAGAAATTAAAATAAGGTTGAATCTTGCTGAAACTGAAAAAGATAACAAATCCGTGATTGAAAACTAAGAAACTTGATTTGCTATCGTTGTTGGTTGTGCTTGAGGCGCAAACACACCGTGAGATTTAGAGATAAGCGAAGTGGAACTGAGAGAGAAGGGGAGAAAGTATGATAAAGAGGATGTCACCGATGGCAACGATAAAAGATCGACGGCGATGACCGAACTTCGAAGGTTGCTTGAGAGAAATTGATCAACTGAATACCACGGCGATGAGAACTAAGAAGTGAATGAGGCAGCATGAGTAAAGAAAAACAATGAGATAGTGGAGGAATGTTGGCACACACTCAAAAATCAAAACATTGGGAGAAGCAAAAGCAAATAAAAAAAATATCAGATAATAATGAATGGCTCCCAATTGATCGTTGTGTCAAAATCCGTTCCAAAGTTAAAAGTAGTATATAGGTGTGTGTGTATGTGTGTGTGTGTATAATAATAATAATAATAATAATATAACATATACTTGTATACCATTATAACGGTTTGGTCTCGACTCATCCGGTCCTGTAGGACCCTAATCCGGGACCAAACCAAAAATTCATGGTTACATTATTTTAAAACCGTTACCAAACTGAATCGCTATGGAACCAGCCAAATCGCTCGATTCGGTCCGGTCCGGTCGGGTTTGGTTTTTCGGGTTGACAGCTTTTTTGCACACCCCTAGAATATAAATACACCCGGAGCCAAGATTTCGGGGCACGGTGTATAATAATAATAATAATAATAATAATAATAATAATAGTAATAGTAATCAATTAGTGTTACAAGAAAGATAAATAATTGACCAAAATTAAAAATTAAAAAATTATTCGGTAATATTTTAATTGAATACAATTGTAGGTTTTTGCCTTGAATTACACGCATTTGACTTTATAAAATTTAAGCCTTGTGACAAACAAACTACATGATACAAGTGGAAAAAAAAAAAAACTTTAAGAAGCGGTGAAAAAAAAAAAAAAAAAAAAAAAGGAAAGAAAAATGAGAAAAGTTTGAAAGGAAAAAAAAAAAAAAAAAAATAGAGCCTAATTGAAGAAGAAAAAATTAGCTTTCTTTATAAGGAAATTAAAGGAATTTAAGAGATAATTTTAGAAATTAAAAAATTTAGGGGGGCATTATGTATAAATTTTCCTAAATATATAGAAATACAAATAAATTTGTCTTATATTTGTAATTGGTGGAGCTTAGGTCGGAGGCATGTGCCCCCTCTGGGTCTTAATTGGCATGGATACACCTTTACACTAATGTCATATATGTGGATACACCCAACCTACACAGGG